TCAAGATTGGCGCATCCTTCTGCCGGATTCCCAGATTCTAGGACTAGCCCCAGTTCTAGTGTGGGTTGGCCGTTTTTTTTTTTTTTTCTTTTTTCTTTCTTGTTATTTATTATGTATTAAGATTTTTTCATTATTTTTCATTTGTTTTTGTTTTTTTCTTTTCTTTTCTTTTTTCTCCCCTGGGATCCACATAAATCCTGGAAAATGGAGCCAAGAGGGAGTCTCCGTTATTGACCCACTGACTGAAGCTCTTCAAGTTGAGAACTTGAGAAACTTGAGAGAGCATATCCCGAATTATCGGAGAATTCCCTCCTTAGTCCGTTGAGTAAACAAAGACCTTGAACCTTTTCGGATCTCGCGAGAATTGTCTTTTGTTCCTTTTTTCCTTGTCCGCTATGGAGTATTTTGACCCCCCGATTTTCTTCTCTAGCTCGGTTTTCTTCCTAATGACGAATCCTTCAACGGTCTGGTATATTTCATTACCAATCTATTTCAATTTGAATGATACTTGCCCCTGGACATTACATATGGAAGTCTTCACCGATCACTATTATGGAGTTTACGATGTAGAGCTATTGCATTGTCGATCTGTATATCGTTATAGCTTCACGATGGCGTTCCTCATCTTATGTTTTTTCTTTTTTTCTCTCCAGGAACGCCAAATCTAATTCTTCACAGCATTTTCAGATCGATACGAGCCGGAGATAACAGCCGAATGCCCGAGGAGAATGATGACAAGCCACGAGATTGACAGAAATCTCCTTCTAATTGAGATCCGCCAGAAGTGGGTACATAAGTGGATGCGAATATTGCTCCAGATTCTCTATCAGCCGTCTTCCAGAATATCATCAACGTCAAAAGAATCGAGAATTACTGAGTAAAACAATATATGGTCCCTTTTTTCATTTATTATGGAGTCCGTAGCGACTATCTCTTTCGCAACGGGAACCGTTTGATACCAAAAATCCACGTATTTCAAAATCGCTACTCCGTACTAGCGCCCGTTTGGCTCGAGATTATCCCGTGTCTTCGATGGGTCAGTGGGGGGGAAGGGGCGCTTTCCTTTTAGCTGCTCTGCATAGCGGTGGCGATGAGAGCGATCATTCTCCATTGACGGCGCGCGTCATCACGCAGTAATGGGCCTGACTGGGACTGGTCCTTGCACTGACCATCAACATGATTCAAGTTTGACCGCCGTTCTGACCTGTTGACTGCAGAAACATCCTCTATGTCTTTATCTTCATGCGACTAGGAAAAGTGAAAAAAAGCGAAAGAAACGGAAAGAATACTAGACATGTCAATAATACTTTGCGGGAATTTCTTCGGTCTAGCGGAAACGCCCAAAAAAAAACATGGCAAATCAAGTGAGGAGAAGAGCGCCTGTGGCGAACAGTTGATCACCCTCGCACGAGCCCTGCAACGGCGTTCTTAGTTTCGTTCTAACGCCTGCACTCTCAATAAAGCCCTGGGAAGGAATCGAGACCGTGACAAGACCAGGGGGGGCTCAGGAGTACTCCTTCCATCAGCGATTTCTGAACTAGTTGCGCTAACTCGGGAGTTATGCTATTTGCGGCTTCTATTCCATCTTGGATAGATGAAATGGATCCTCCGAGGCTTTTTCCAATCGTCGATTTATACTTTTGAACTTGTTCCTCGGCCGAGTCAATACAGAGAAAATGCCGGTCTCGACTTCACTCTCCATGCAAGGCTTATGCACCGGAACCTTCCCGTCATGCTTTACTGGGCTGTCAAGAATAGGATGCGGCTTTTGCTTTAGATGCAGCATGATGGCTGAGATCAGCGAGTGAATTTGAATCCCGACTTCGATCGGCACTGATTATGATGCGTCTCAGTCGGATACTAGCAGAGAAGCTAACCTTGTGGCTTTCTGTCTCTTTGGATTATATCTTTTGCTCTATATTGATGACGAGGCTAAAGTCTATGATTCTGACTTCAAGGGATAATATCCAAATTGAGGTTGTATACCGATATCTGTGACACCGTGAAACAATACACATTCCATGACAGCAATGTACTCTAAACCTTGAACCTTGAGAGTACCCAAAAGAGTGTAATGCAGATTGAAATACCTTGTCGCTCCATAAGGAATAACTTGGAATCCTGGTGGCCATAGCTATACCTGTCCACTCTGTACTAATTTCAGTACTGGGATATTCCAAATCAATCCCGAATGGTGAAAACCTTCAAGCGGAAACATGACATCTGGAAGTCAAATAGATGCACCTAGACACGTATTTCTGTCAACGCAAATAGAAAAATTCACATATGCACCAAGTCATGAGATATTTAACTATCTAATTTTTAGTATCTCTAGGTATGAGTAGATTTATACTATGACATCTTCTATATGCAGGTGCATGTTTGACTGCAGGAAGAGAGTCTAGACCGCTTTTCATTCGCCAAAATTGAGTTTGAATGACAGCTGAAGCTAAACCACAAATAGAACATGACTTTCATCCTGAAAATGAGAATGAGATTTGTCACTTCAAAGTTGAACAAACTACACTCAATTCCAAATATTGAGTATGAAAATACTACTCTACAGAGTTAAGTGCTTATTCTTTACTTGTACTTCATGGCCATAATGGTACTAGTATTGAGAATTCTCCAAAACTCAGGTGACCTGACACTACGGAGTAAGTATCCACTCAACTTCTTCCCAGGGGCAGGGTTGACTCCACAAAAAACAACGTCCAATCTAAAAACTGTTTAAGGAAAAAAAAACAAGGAAAGATCATCCTAGTACGGAGTCAGAAAAAAAAGAAGTGGAAAACAAAAAGGAGGAACAGGTTCGGTAAGAACTCCTTGGAACTCGATGGCACGAACTCCTCGATCATATTCTCCGAGTTTTCCCTGACACTAGATTAGCCACGATAAATCCACACGGTTCTCTCTCCTCCAACAGGAAGGAGGCTAGACACAGCTAGTCATTGGCGAAATGAGACAGATCCGTGCGATCGACGACAATAACAGCCGAAGGATCGGCAATCTTCAATCAAATCAACCACCCGCAACTATCGACCGTAGACACATGGACTGGCCCCGCAGATCCACGGGTCCTCGGAACGTCAATTCTCCATGACAGCAAAACGGCCTTTTGGCTCGGGTACCGTTTTTTGACTCCACTGGATCCGGTTTGGAAGGGGCCCCCGGGGACCAGGGGGAGAAAGAAGAGAAGGGAGAAAGGGAGGAGTTTTTGTGGACTCCACTTGTAAACCATGTAAACCATGCAGAACGAAACAAGTCTAGAGTTTTCTATTCTAATTTCTTTTTTTTTTACCCTTTTCTTTTTCTGTTTGTTTTTGCTGGTTCTGATCCCCGATACCTGATCCCCGAGGTTTCCACAGTGACTCGGTTTATCCCTTGGAAAAAGTGGAGTTCTATTGCAGAATACGTGACGGTTGGGATGGATCAAAATGAACCAAAATTTGAGTACGAGGCAAGTACGAGACGGGGATGAGAAGCTTCGGATTTCACGTATCCTGTATGCTTCATACCAAGTAACAGAACTTGTCATTGCTAACCGTACTTCATACGGTTTGCTGATCTATCTCCTTTAGTCCAGGACTCCCAAATAGGACAGGAATGAACCCAAAAAAGTACCAAAACACGCTGTACCCATTACCGACGCCATCCGGCAATGGGACTAGGATCCTAGCGCAGCCCTCGGGTTTGGCTTGCGGCATATAGTCTCCCCCAAGACTAATTGCGTTTTCTCTCAAGATGTACTTCGATAACCTTGAGCTTGGTTCCCCAGAAAAGCCAAGAATGAATCATGAATCAAGGTCAATCCATCCAGGACACTTCCGTCAACGCTTGTCTTAGATTCATGTGCCACCGAGGCGCTTGGCAAAAGCTGACTGTTCAGAGTTTCTTTCCCTGACTCCGTTACTACCCATAGCCAACCGGGATCTCGAGGGAGGGGCCAAACCCCGAACTTGGCTTAAACGATCAGGCTGAGAGAGGGGAGAGGGGGGCTGGGTCACGGAGAACAGCCCCCGGTGTGTGCGTCTCCATTCTCTCGTACTTTTGGTGCTCATTGGATGCATCACGATTGACTAGGTGATCGACTGGGGAAATGGTTGGTGGAAGGATGACAAGAACCACTTCAACAGTATCCCCTTTACGTCGCGTGCATGGCGCATATGCAATGCAGCTTTCCGTTTTAAGTGCCTCGCGATCGATTCCATTCACAATATGACATCTCCATTCGGACTATCATTCTCGTGGGGAAAGTCCCGATCCAGGGATGGCGTGAGGCGTAGTTCTGGATGCATGAGTCGTATGATTATTTATTTTTGTTTCTGTTATTGTCATAAGCTTTGCATTTCACCTAGCTTCCTTTTTTTGGATTGGATTGCAATCATTTGCGGTTGTATGACTGGTGGGCTTTAGGTCCTCGATTAGCTTCGACCTCGGAAGTGGATAAATGCCCACAGCTGGCTCACAGGTAAAATGCAGGTTGGAGCTGGTCACCTTGATAGGATAGAGAGAGGGGGAAAGGTCTAGAAGCAATCTCAGCTGGATTCTAGCTTTTTCCTAAATTCCAATAAACCCGTTCCAAGATCTTGGACAGTCCTTTTTTTGGGACTTCTGGTTATCTTCGATTCGTAGTTGCGCCATAATATGACCTAGAAGGATTGCATAAGCGTTGCCTGATTCGGGGATGGTGTATATAGTTCGGCCACACGGGTGTAAGATTAGGAGGGCCCAGAATTGGGGCCCAGCTTTCATGGATATCTGCTCCAACCTCATCTTCATGATAATTTCACACTATGATGATAAATGAATTAAATGAAACAACGGAGAAAGTGGTAAGGCAACCACGTGACCCACGCGTGTCCAACCCTGGTCGACGCGGGGAATTTCCAGACGGCGCGGGGAATCTCTTTTTCATCAACTCCCCCCACCTTACTTCTTCGTTTTCCTCCACTGCTGCTCGCCTATCTCTCCAATCAGCAAAGGGAATTCCATAAAAGATGGCGTCTTCAGTCATCACCCTGGGTGAAATACCTACTCTTTCCTATCTCTACCGAACTGGAAAGCTCCATGTCATCACTACTTCAGTCAGGAATGGATCCCACTCGCCCTCGTCAATTACCTCATCATCAGCTGCCAACAGAAGCCCCGTCCAATCTCTGAATGACAAAGTATCCTACCTCAAGGATGATATCACCAAACTGAATGTCGACGGTATTGTCAATGCTGCCAACCGTACCTTAGAAGGTGGCGGTGGTGTAGATGGTGCAATTCACCGAGCTGCTGGTGGCACTCAGCTGTTAGATGCCTGTAGAGAACTGCGTGGCTGTGACACAGGTGATGCCAAAATTACTCCAGGCTTCAATCTACCTGCTCACCGCGTGATTCATACGGTCGGCCCAGTCTATGGAATTGAATTTCGACGTGATCCGTCCCGCCCGGAGCAGCTTCTGCGATCTTGCTATCGACGTAGTCTGGAGGTTGCTGCAGAGCGCGGTGTCCGAACTCTCGCTTTTTCGTGTGTCAGCACTGGAATATATGGGTATCCGAATGAAGATGCAGCATTCATCGCCGCGGATGAAGTTCGAATGTTCCTACTTGCACCTGAGAATGTAGGCAAGATCGACCGTGTTATCTTTTGTCTCTTCCAGCAAGTGGACGTGGATGCTTATGTGAAGATTCTGCCGTGAGTAGTCTATTCTTTGGGAAATGTGCACTACATATGCATTACATGTGTAATCGAGTACTAACGGTGCTACGTGAATAGTCGGATCTTCCCTCCCACCACCGAAGATACCGCGACGTTGACCAATGGGGCTTAAGTGATTTTTTCCCCGGTGATTTCAATGGTGGTGCACCTCTAATGGGTGCTTTCGTTTTCCTTTCTTCGTCCTTCTTTTTCTTCTTTTTTTTCCCTTACAACCCCAATTCTACAACCTTTGCGGCTGGGGTATTACGAGACGACGACGATATGTGACCATGTACATTAAAAGGAAGGGATAATCTACTCTATCTACTCTATTCCACTTCGGTTTATCTATTAGTTCTCTTGACTTTGTATGACTGGTTGTCGCGACTGCCTGGTAACCAGGTTAGTTGACGTAGCGATGACTGGTAGTCATGGTTGAGAGTTTAAGGTCTAGAACCTGGATGGAACAACCGAGCCTCATTGTGCCTCCATAATATGATGTTTGACTTGTTCCTATCCTTAATTGATTCTTACTTTCACTCGATTCTATGAAGATGTTGTCAATACTGATAACATGGTATTTTCTTGTTTCTTTCATCAAAAATTCTTTCTCAATTCAAAAATGATTTCGGTTCAACGTTTGAGTCAATCACAAAATCCACCACTATAATCCTAGATAGTATGACCGTGCTACCAGTATCATTATGTTTCAAACTGAGTCTCTCAGGTCTGTCTTACATGTGCAAGGGGCAGCGGATGGCTCGGAACTGTTTTGATACCACTGGGCCGTGATATAATTGATCCAACTTGAACTTTCATAGAACCGAAGCCCTAGCAAGTACTGGCATTGTGCTATGACTGGTACTTGTTTTATCTGATAGACAATCTGAGAATCGAGGACAGACACTCCCCTGTACTGAGTCTAAATATGAGTTTCTGACAGATATTGGGCCGCAATCCTCAACCCCTCAGTTTGGGCACTATACCTAGTAGTAGTACATATGCAGCTTAATCATCAGGATTCGGATCCCGAGGTCTATGGATAGTCACGGTGTCAAGCTTGATGCACATATTAGTAGTATGCATGATTATACACATTAGTATGTTTTGTATTGAGGATTAATTTTATGCTGCCCAGTAACATAGTCTATATTTGAATCAAATCACAAGAAATGTTGAAAATAACCCAAAGTTTTAAGAATCCCCTTGACGCCAACGCTGAATATAAAATGGTCGACTCGGAGCCGTGCCGGACTTTTGCGAACTCGGAGGTGCTAGTGCAGTTTTCCCTGATTAAGGACAAAGATTCCATCATACCTAGTAGGTACATGTCTCAAGAAAAAGAAAACCGAACTACGAAACGTCAAAGTAATCTCACAAAGTCCCCCCTGGATACCGTGATTTGAGTAAAGCATCGAGAGTGCCACTAGCCAGCTCGAATGATAACACCAAAATCGACCAAGCCCGAAAAGCCAGACACGATAAAGCAGAGACGTATAATTTCATTTAAGAAGAGAATTGTTTTGCCACACGTCCCTGGGAATGTCGGTAGTTCCCATCTTCCGATTTCTGAACAATGCTGGGTTGGTCATCGACATCCTTCTCGAATCGAATGTGCTCGTCGATATCCCCATGACCATTCTCTCGGATTGACATTTCCAGTCTCTTAGATAGAGGTCGAAATTATTTCGCATCGGCTTTCCACCCCGTGCCATTATCTGTGACTTTCACAACCTTAGTACTGTCAGAAAGGCCACCGGTGAAATAGATATAAGTGGTCACGACGACCATCAAGAATGCGCAGATGGATTCTATTTGAGCACCTCTCTTCGGATATCAATGCGGCGAAGGTTTGTACTCAAAGATAGTCCGGCATGCTCACGGAGTGGACGAATGCATAACACGATTACTCCTGCGAGTGACATGGCTAGAAGAAAGACGGCATCGTGTGTTGTCTCGAAGCCGAGAAGAAAGGTGTTGAGGAGGCTGAAATTTCGATATTAGATTTTTTTTTCTTGTCTTAAACAGCTATTGCCGACATGTATTCAAATTCAAGCTTGAAATTACCTGTGGTCCATGTTCATCAGGAGGGTTGAAGTGAGGGTAGAATCGATGTAAATGTTCAAGTTTGTTTACTAGGGTCCGGATACCAGATTTAAATCGCTATGAGCCTTTCAGACCATGAAAAGTGTTGCCTACGGCCTCCTTAAAAGGCACATCTGGTATGATATGTCATAAAATGAGTCGCGCTAATCATCTTTTCCTGGTGGTAAAAACTAGGCTTGAAATTCTCTAGCTCGCAGTATTTACCAATTCTACCCTTGTCTGGGGGCAGAATTTGATATTGACCCACTAAAAACCACTAAAAATCCTCACTTGGATACCGAATTCTTCCGTATGTGCCGATTTACAGCCTGGTAAGCTCAAGCTCAAGTGCTGATATGCATTACACATAGAATTCGGGAAGTGGAATGTGCAAATATCTCAGATCTGTGTTGATCCACCTTACAACTTGAACATCTGGAGAACCCGAGCTTCCGACTCGAAAATAATGAAGCCTCCAGAGCTGATTCTATGGATACACATCTAATGCTACAAAGATATTATTCAAGTTCGATGAAAAGCTTCATCTGTCAAGCGGCGAAGTTATGAAAACTTGAGTACGTCTCCCAAAATCAACATGGATCAAAAAGCCCCACCGAACCCTTGATCGCTTTCAATAGTTCCTCAGAATGCTACTTTCAGCCCCCAAGGGCCACAGGCATCCACAGTTGAATATAAGCCTCATTCCATACCCATCTCCTCCTCAGTAGGCCTTCTACACGAATCCGCCAACCCTGTGACCTTCCACTCTCCCTGAATCTTATGCAAAATAAAAATCTCTACACCCACATGATTCACAACCCCATTAACCTTCGCCCGAAAAGATGCCCAAACAGCAGCAAGATTGCCTCCCTCTTGTACCTTTACCTCTGGATCCCAGATCCGCTCCTGGATATCACTCTGTAGCGTGGCGATGTACTCAATGAAGGAGCCGATGGTGCAGAATCGTAGAGGTGTAGGTGATGGTGGGGAGAGGGACATGGCCCCGGCACGAATGCAGTGTTTCTCGAATTCGAGACGCGATTTCGTGTTGAGCGCTGCGAGGAAGCCGTGGGTCACTGCTAGGATGGAATCGATTTCTGTGGAAGGAGGTGGGGGTGTAGAGGAGCTTGTCCAGCACATATTCAATTCAGGTTCAGGATTGTGTGTGTGTGTGTGTGTATGTAAGTTTTGGATCTGGGATGCACTGGTATCTCAAATTCCAGAGTGAATTGGAGGGATGTGTTGAGATGATTCAAGTTAGAGGCCAGGATAGACACTGAACTTCGGGGAGAAATGGGATGGTAGGACGAGATATCCTTTTCTTCGAAAGGTTTCTCGAAAAAAGATACCCTACACATTTACGAATGAAGATCTGGTTTGGCTTCTGTCTTAACTTTGCTTACGCCTCGTTGCTAGATGAGGCAATTGTTCCCTTTGATTATTTCCATGAAAGGACGGTGCTGTAACCGTTACAACAATGTGCGCCGGTGGATTCCAAGGTTAGATGTTGTCAGACCTTGTCTCATCCTAATTGAGCATCAGATCGAGGTTTGTGTAGGACGGACGATATCGATCTCGGCTTCCGGCAGGATATTAATTGCCTATAGTAGATGAATGTTAACATGAAGTTAAACCATATGATATTGGACTAGTCGATATCTTAATATGGGTTGAGACTGAAAAATAATTAAGATCCGCGTTTCAAATGATTGTGATAATTCATCAAAAGGATCGAAACCTCAAGGGGCTGCCCTCGGGTTGCTTGCTATTATGTGCAAATTCATCGTATCTAAAAATGTTACTCAATCCCAACCCCGGGGATATCTATCTACATGGGTGCAATGCAAAGAAGCTTCTATCTTAATTCTTTTTGCCTCGGAGAAGCTCCCAACCAAGGGAACCATCCCGGCCCTCCTTGTTTGTCACCTCCTCAACTGCCTTGACAAGATCATAGCAGATTTCCTCGGACACAACACTGTCGTGGTTGTAGCTTGGGTGCTTAGCCACAAACTCGCGGATCCAGCGGGCTCCAGTCCAGAGAGTACCGTCTGCGCGTTTGCGGATGAGATCAAGGTAGCTTGCAAGGAAGCATCGGGTCTCGACATCTACGTTGACGCTGTTCAAGTAAGACTCCACAAGGGGAATGAGACCCGGGAAGGTACCATCAGCGCAACCATTAATGATATCAGAAATAGTCATTAATTCGTATTCCGCCTCCACAGGGCTAAGAGGAGGGGATGGAGGCGGGGTGTTCACTGCGGAAGAGGTTGCAGAGGAAAAGTTGCTGCCGTATGGAGACGCATGAGCAGATGGGCGTGGGGGTCGTCGAGAGAAAGGATCTTTGCGGAAATAGAACTTCTCGTCAAGCACAGCATTACGGGCATGGGCAGTCTCCATGTTCTCGGTGGTGCGTTGAATAGGAATATAGAAATTAAGGTCGAAACTCAAGATCGCTCGGGTAATGAGAACAATGAAGATGCTGAACGCCGCATTTTCGAAATCGGTAATCTGGATTTCCATTGAACGGAATTCAACTCGCCAGCCAATGTCGTCCTTCTCTGATGGAGGGGGCTTGAAGCGCATGTGTTGCCAGTTGGTAGACTGGAGGTTTTCAAAATGATCACCCTTGTTCAAGTCGAGCTCCTCGAGATCCTCAGAGAAGATCACCAACGGGTCACGAATGAAAAGGTGTGCAAAGTGTGTGGCGAGTAGGTCATCCATGCCTCCATCCATCAGGCGCTTCTTAATATCCTCGTCGATGACCAGATCTGGGTCAAAATATTCCTTTCGGAGCCGAGGATCTTGAGAAAGATAAGTCGAGTTTGAAGCATAGCGCGACTTGGGAATTCTCCATCTATCATTTTTGAGAGGCTATTTCCAACAGTGTAAGCAAAAATCCTGTTCAATCCAAAATGCCTCATGGGAAAGGAAAACTTACTGCCTCCCCAAGCTCTTCAGGTGTTCGATCATCCACCGCTCCGCCGATCTGGTTCCAGCGGACATCGGTATCCACAAGGAATCCCTTATAAATGGGGGTGGCAGCTGTGAGGGCTAGGAGAATGGGACCAAGTGGACTAAGTTGATCATACAACTTTCTACCCTCGGTCATATTCTTTGCTTGGAAGGTGATCTGCAAACAGCAGCTACCCATTCCGAAAGCCATGGCGTCCATGTAAACATGGTCGTCCTTAGCGGCACCGTTACGGACATCATCGTCTTCCGGCCAGAGATGCAGGTCGTAATCCACGGTAGGATCTTTGAATGGAGATGGGGTGTTCGTGTCCTTAAAAATGGGCACGTTCAGTTCCACCTTACGTCCTCGACGTGATCGAATGTTGGCGGCCAGCGTCGGGAATCGGATATGTGGGTTTGCAATCTCATCGGGAACGAACTGCGAGCGAAGTGCGGGCCCTGAGGGAGGATAATAAGGCTGGATGTAGTCATCTTTCGTTCCCAGTCGGGGGAATGTTGTTAAGGTAATGGGTGATTCATTAGGTGCCATATGTGCTTTCGCAACTTCACGTCTGGAATATCATTAGCCTTATTGCTTGTGACCAAGCATCCACATAAGAACATACCGCCATTTCATATTGGATTCAACTTTCAGCAAGTCTTTGAACCCAATGCCCCACGGCTGGCCTGGCGTGGCTTCGAGCATGAATCGTCCGAACTCGGGATGGAAATGCGGAGGCTCCTCGCCAGCACTGGTTGAGTGTCAACAAACCACAATTCACTCTTGACAGCCTATGTCCATGCTTACTGTTCCCCATTGCTGTTGTTATCACCCGATCCAGCCTGCCAGAGGGCTTCGTCCCGAGCGAGTGACTTCAGAATCTCAGCTTGCGCCAAAGAGAGTCGAGCTTTTTTAGCCTCATCATCGAGAGCCACAACAAGGTACTCGACCTATGGTCCCGGAAATACAACCGTAAGCTTCCATTTCAAAGTTATGTTGCCAATATTCACAGATCGTACCTCGTCACCCCAAAGGAGAGCATCTCGCTCCTTCCCTTTTGCCCGACGCCAATTTGCCAACAATTGCTATATAACCAGTCAGAACAATGACGCTTTCGACGAAACCCGGGCAGCTCTCTCGTATTCTGCCCTGGCGATAGCGGCTTATACCTCAATTCCCCACTGGCGCACCTGGTGGGCCTTCTTCTTGGCTTCGGGCCATTCCAATGCAGTTCCAAGAGCACTAGACAGGCCAGTTAATTGTCACTCATGTGAAGCCAGGAAGAAAGAACTCATACAGCAGACCCATCACGCTGGTATTTCAAAGTTCCAATCCCCGCTATGCCGATCAAAGAGCCCCAGGGCGTCGTGAAGTAGATATAAGGTGACGCGCTTAACTCGGCAGGTCCAAGAATCCCGGGGAGAAATGAGGTGATAGATGCAGATATGAATAAGAATAACTAGAGGAAGATCAAAGACCGCGCATGGGCCCGTTCCGCCCGTTTCTTTTGAATTCTTGCATGGAGGGGGAATTTTCTCCTCTAACGGCTTTCCCGGCGGGGCAAGATCTCGGCGATAAGGACCTGGATTTCTAAGCAATCAGGTGATGCGGATTACTGATGAGATGAGATACATTTACCTAGGATATTCAAGGATCTTAAGGGACTACGATGTTCATCTCATTTTTCTGTGCTCATTCGATCGGTACCTATACATGATGAGCAATCTTTACCCTGGACTTGTGGCATAAGATCCCTGCAAAGTAACAGGCACAACGCTATGACTTAGGCTTAGGCTCAGGCCCCCGGCTTATACCGCATCAAGATCGGGTCGCATGGTAAGCAGAAATACGACCCCTGCTGCGCGGTTGGATCTGCAGGCCACCCACCAATCCGAAACTTGCCCAAGGTCGTATTGCAACCACCGCTGACAGATCTATATTGTTGCCGCTGGAGCCGCTGTGGAATTGAGCTTGACAAACCATATTCTGGGGGAGCCTTGAGCTTGTGCATATATCTGCTCCGATAATCGGGATATGAATAGATTATTTGGAGTTTTGCTGTCATATAAATGACAGCAGCGATCGGAAAGTAAGAGCAGGTGGCTCTGTCCACTGGGTAAGTCTGATGCCCGCGGGCCAAGAAGAAGCCAATAAAGAACTTGAATAGTCCCAACGCCAAAAGAGGCAGTCCATGAGTAGTCTCGGAATATCGTCTATGTACATAACCTGCTACCTGTCCAGCAGCCCTCTGAAAACACAACAAAAAAAGGTCGGCAAGCTTAGTTGCTACGGGCACCGTCCTTGGCAGCCCGGAGCTCATCCATCTTAGCAACGCGCTTCTTGAACTCGTCGTACTGGCACTTCTCGTAAGTGTGGCGCTCAGTCTAGGTGCACAGAAAAAGTTAGCGCTTTTCATTCTTGAGTAATATTATCGAATTGAGTCCACTTTTCCAATTGCGGCGCTCGGATAGGAATGTATCGAAATCGTACCTCACACTTCCATGGAAGGTAGTACTCTGCTTGTCGGCAGCGGTTCAGAGGAATCAAGAGGTGTGCACATGAATCACGGTATTGCATGGGGAGGCGGGCATCGGACATCTCCTGACGGGTAGCTGTCAAGAAGATCGCGGTTAGCTTTAGGTCAGGTTTAAGACGGGGGTTCAATTGGGAGGATATTCGTACCGGAGGTCTCCCCGAGGCCCACAGCGCTCTTCACTGACTCGACGACAGTCATTATGACAGGAATTGGATGGGGTGGAGAGGCGGCGGAGGGGATAAAGACGGGGTCAATTCGCGGTTCTGCGGACCTAGCCTTCAACTTTGAGGTATCTCGTTTGCTCCCGATATACAGTCATGTGATATAGAAATCACATGATTGGGTGATGAGTTGTGATTATGTAATGGTGCCCTGGATGGTCATGTGACTTTGAATAACGTGATCTGTTGTCACGTGATGGGCATTGCTAACCTTGGAAAGGCACCCTAAGAAATTGCTAACGTAATTCCCGGTCTCGGCGTACACCCGGTCTCACCGTACACCCCATCAAAAATCACGTCCATCTACCTACCTACCTACTTCAAACATCTACCATGCCACTAATTCGCTCTGAATCTCGGCAGAAATTAGCCAACCAAGAGGGCAAGATCTTATTGGCACTGAAATGATTTAAAAAATTGCCGTATCACCTCTCTCCGTGCAGCAGCGAAGCTCTATAATATACCCCATACAACGCTAGCCGACCGTGTAAATGGCGTACAAGCACGCGTTGATCAACGCCTACCTAGCTACAAATTGACACAGCTTGAAGAGGATTCGCTTACTGAATGGATTATCTCTATGGACACCCGTGGAGCAGCGCCTGGGCCAGCTACTGTACGAGATATAGCCAATATTCTACTAGCTACGTGTGGTAGCCACCCCCAACCTACAGTTGGCAAGAATTGGCCATCAATCTTTATAAATCGACGTGAAGAGATTCGAACACGTTTCTCTAGGCGATATGACTACCAATGTGCCCAAAATGAAGATCCTAAATCCTTACAAGAGTGGTTTACAACCGTACAATATGTTATTAATGAGAATGGTATCTAGCCTGAGGATGTTTACAACTTTGATAAGACAGGCTTTGCAATGGATCTTACTTCAAAATAGAATGTTGTTACTCGATCAGAATATTATGGTCGGCGAGCTATTCTACAGCCTAGAAACCGTGAATAGGTGACAGTAATTGAAGCTATCTGTGCAGATGGCTATCTTTTACCACTTGCCAACATCAATAGTCCCATCTGTAGATAGATAGTTCGGACCACCATGTTGTTGATATCCAGCTCTCAGTTCGTAGTTTCCTTCCTTCCCTCACGCTTCACCAGATATCGTTCCTTGCCTTCCTAGTTTGCGCCCTTTCTAGTACCACTATGTGTGATTTTTAAGGGAAAGGTTGCTGTTACTAGCTGGTTCAATAACCTACTAAAAGATTGGTGATTTGAGGTCTTAGCTAATGGCTGGACTACTGATAAGATTGGCTTATGTGAAGGGCAGAAGCGGATTTGATTCAATCTACTCGGACCACGAACTGTGTACAAAAAGAAGCTTAAGGAGAAGGAGTAGACTTCGGGCACGATTCGTCAAGGAAGAAGAGGAATGTTATGGGTCACGTGGATGGTTGAGCTTTGTACAGGCAAGGCCTGTACTCTTTCAGGGATTCAGCCTGTGACAGCTTACGATAGCTAGAAAAGCTATTTGTCCTATCTATAAATTTATATGTCTATAGTCGATTTCGGCTATTGATTCTTGATGGCCATAGAAGCCATCTTATACCCTAATTTGACTGAATTTATACTAAAAACAATATTGTCCTACTCTATATATCTACACATTTATCACATCTATTATAGCCACTAGATATTGGTTGTTTTATGGTGTTAAAACATATATATGGTTATTTTATAAATAACCTTATACGTATAGGCTATAACCATATCAACAAGCTTAATTTCTTAGCTAATTACCTGTAATGAAGTTGGTAGATTTGGGTAGCACCAGGTTGGCTAGGCGAAGTAGGTACGAGGAGTATACGAATCAAAGGGGACAATATGGCATGAAACAAGCAGGTCTTCAATCTATACTGAGACTGACACTTGAGGAGTGTAAGTCTTAGGATAGCCATCTTGAGAGTAGCGGTGTCCCGACTGTATTTCGACACCTAATCCGGAGACTTTCTCCGTAAGGCTGAATCCGTTGAGTTCCTTGACATTACCAGCATACCTAGCAAGAAGCTTTTCAACCAACTACTATTTAGAGTAGCTTTTTAGCTACTAGTTTAGTCCTAATCAACACTGAGAGAGTTCTTTCTAAATTGAATATTTCTCTTCGAACACCTACACCACTAGGTAGCCGACCAAGCAGCAGATCTAGTCAATTTACACCCAAAACACCTAGAACTGTGGTTCAGCTACACAAGCAAGCTTCAATGCTGAAAGACTTCTAAAACAGCGATCAAACAGCCCTCCCAGTCCACCAAAATTGATGCTAGATCAAATCATCAAAGGCCACTCGATAGCGCTACATAACACCGCATTACTAGCACAAGAAAACGCCAATTTACGTGCTACAAATGAGAAGAAACGACAGAAGCGTAGTCGATCAGCTAGGCAGGTGCCATGTGAACAGGGCTTGACTGTTGAAGAAGGCCTACAGCTACTCACGCAGCTAGAATTGCCAGTAGAAGCACCTGTGGTTGAATCACACACCCAGGTTGAATTGCCTATTCAGCCGAGTCAGCCAGCCAAAAAGGCTCCGCCCAGGTGTAGTGGGTGTCGAGAGGTTGGCCATCGCATCAATGTATGTAAAAATCGTATTTATAACTGAATTTATTGGCGTTGGGTTAAGATATTTGAATTTAAATTTGTCTAATGGTGGTGGGTGCGCAGCTCGGGCGGGAATTACGTTGCGTTGTTAATGTGACAGAACACGGGTGCAGAACTAGCCCAATTGGGTTAGTTCAAACCACTATTAAATGGAGAGCTCTGATTGGTCAAACCAGAATGGATCACATGACCGATCAGGTGATCTCCAGGCAGAGTTTATGTGCGTAATTATCAGAATGAGAGAATCAGACCTGCCATCCCATTGGCGACCGCCTACTGCATTAGACATTGTAGTCTGTCATAACGTATCCCGTAAGCGAGCCGCACATGTAAGCGGGCCGCACACCTACCCATCAACTAACATATATTATATACAATCATTCAACCAACAACAGAGATATTTAATTAGAACGACTTCTATCTTAGTTAGTACATGTGTTTCTCTTATGTCCAATATTGCCGCAATTTGTACACTTTGGCAGCGCTCTCCCAGTAGCCGATTTCCGCGCTTCCCGCCGCTCTACATCCACCACCTGCTCTGCTTCTACTACCTCTCTCTCTGTCTGTATACGCTGGCTTGCCTCGCTCACAGTCATTCCACCCTTATTAGCCATCTGCCTATGAGGTAGGGCACGCTTACGTGCCTGCCGCCCATTCTCAGCGCGTAATTGCTCAATTTCATGAGCGAGAAATGCGCCGTTATGCATAGCAATCTCACATCCCTTAATCAGCTGCTCAAGCGCTTCTTTAGCTGGGCTGGGAGGTGTATATGACCTCTGTTTTAACAGCCTTTTGATTGATGAAGCCTGTCGTCGGATATCGGTAGGCTTATATGGTGTATGGGGGGGTAAAGTTGCTGCTTCCACTGCTAGGGGGTGGTGTAGGTGTACGTAGCTTTATATCAAGCTTCTCAAGCACCCGCTGTGAGCTAAGCGGGATTAAGCCAGCTGCTAAGAAGCTATTTGAAATTGTAGCTGGCTTATAAGCTTGGTCCCGGGTAGATAGGTATATAGCAAGAAAATCAAGCTTATCAATGTGGTGTGTGCCATATCGAAGCTTCTGCTGGATAGCCTGCCCATAGATATGCTTTATCACACCAAAACACCCAACATCAAGAGGTTGAAGAAGATGGGAAGAATGGGCTGGCATACATAATGGTAGAACGTGGTTTTCCTCGCATATTTGATCAAATTCAGGTGTCAAGTGGCTGCCATGACCATCCATAATTAAAAGCCGCCACTTTCCATACACACGTGTATTTGTATATGGTAAAAAGTGATTCCGGAGCCAATTCAATGTGATTTGATTGGTAGTCCAGCCATTATCACTAACATCTAATTGCCAATCAGATGGTAGGTTTTCAGCCGAAAACCAGGCTTGGTTAAACATCTTTGCTTTAAAGATGATATATGGTGGCAGTGCCCATCCACAACTGTTGATTGTCTCAATAGCAGTAACCCATTCACGATTTCCAGATGTAAGAAGGTGTCTTCTTCCATAGTACTCAGCACGTGTAACAACATGGGATGTACTTGTCATACCCATAGCAAAGCCAGTCTCATCAAAGTTATAAATATCCTCATTAAGGATACCATATGTAAGAATAGCTTGCTGCACACGGTTAAACCACTCCGTTATAGTAGCTGGATCTTCACATAAAGCACGCTTATATTCATATCGACGTGATAGACGTGTCGCAAGCTCAGGTGTCCGTTGGATATAATTATATACCCATTTGGTCCCAACTGTCTGCGGGGTGGTCTCTCCACGCTTTGCAAGTAATAAATTTGCCATCTCTCGTACCATAGACTGTGTAGGTGCTGCCCCACGTGTATCCATAGAGAGTATCCATTTCTGAAGTGATTCCTCTTCTAATTGGGTCAATTTATGACTATTTGCGCGTGTGGTTGATCGGGGTGTCGCGCCGTTACAGCGGTCGCGTAGGGTAGATACAGCGACGTCATATAGGCGCGCAGCACGTCTGAGCGTCAAATTTTTGTCATTTTTCATAGCTTGTATAGCAAGTAAAAGCTTTCCTTCTCGGCTATCTGATTTTTCGGCCAAGACAGCGTGCTTTGGTGGCATGGTTGCTGGTTGAAGATCGCGAGTTGTGTTTCGCGGCCGGAAATTTGGTAGGTGTGCGGCCCGCTTACATGTGCGGCTCGCTTACGGGATACGTTAACGTGATTCCCGGTCGAGCTGCGCACCCGGCCGAGCTGCGCACCCCATCTAAAATCGCGTCTTTCTACCACCCTACCTAATTCAAACACCTACCATGCCACCAATTCGTAATATTTCGGCCGAAAAAAAATGTCGAACAAGAGGGCAAGGTTTTATTAGCCTTACAGGCTATTCAAAAGGGCCAAATCAAGTCTCTTCGCGCAGCGGCCAGGCTATTTAGCGTGCCTGAGTCCACACTACGCAGTCGCGCGCACGGCATTCAATCTCGCGTCGATACACGCCCAAATGGCCATAAATTGACCCAGTTGGAAGAGGATCCGCTTATTGAATGGATTATCTCTATGGACTCCCGTGGAGCGGCGCCTAGGCCAGCTACTGTACGAGATATGGCCAATATTCTACTAGCTGCGCGTGGTAGCCACCCCCCACCAACAGTTAGCAAGAATTGGCCATCAACCTTTATAAATCGACGCGAAGAGATTCGAACACGCGTCTCTAGGCAATATGACTACCAACGTGCTCTAAACGAAGACCCTAAATCAATCCAAGCATGGTTTACAACTGTACAACAAGTTATCGATAAGAATGGGATCCAACCTGAGGATATTTACAACTTGGATGAGACAGGCTTTGCGATGGGCCTTATTTCAACACAGACGGTTGTAACACGGCAAGAATACTACGGTCGGCGAGCTATTGTACAGCCTGGGAACCGTGAATGGGTGACGGCAATTGAAGCTATCTGTGTAGATGGTTATTCATTACCACCATGTGTGATTTTTAAGGGAAAGGTTGCTATTGCTAGTTGGTTCGATAACCTACCAAAAGACTGGCGGTTTGAGGTCTCAGCTAATGGTTGGACTACCGATGATATTGGCCTACGTTGGCTTGAGAAGCTATTCATCCCATCAACAAATTCACGTGTCCGTGGCCGTTTTCGGCTATTGATTCTTGATGGCCATGGAAGCCATCTCACACCTCAATTTGATCGAATCTGCTCAGAGAATAACATTATACCTCTCTGCATGCCACTGCATTCTTCACATCTTCTACAGCCACTGGATGTTGGCTGTTTTTCTGTGTTGAAAATTACCTATGGTCGCTTTATAAGTGACCTTGCACGTACAGGCTATAACCATATTGATAAGCTTGATTTCTTAGCTGATTTTCAACGTGCCCGGCTTGAAGCTTTTAAACCAGCTACTATCCAGAATAGCTTTATAGCTACAGGACTAGTACCAATTGATGCTGAAAAAGTTCTTTCTAAATTGAATATTTCGCTACGAACACCTACACCACCAGGCACTCAACCAGGCAGCCGAAGCAGTCAATTTTCACCTAAGACACCTAGAACTGTGGTCCAGCTTCAAAAGCAAGCTTCAATGCTTAAAGATCTTCTAAGACAGCGATCAAACAGCCCTCTAAGCCCATCGAAATTGATGCTAGATCAAATCATCAAGGGACACTGTATATCGCTACACAACACTGCGCTACTAGCACAAGAAAACGCCAATTTACGTGCAGTGAACGAGAAGAAACGACAGAAGCGCAGTCGGTCAACTAGGCAGGTGCCATGTGAACAGGGCTTGACTGTTGAAGAAGGCCTGCAGCTACTCACGCAGCTAGAATTGCCAGTAGAAGCACCTGCGGTCGAACCACACACCCAGGTTGAATTGCCTATTCAGCCGAATCAGCCAGCCCCCAGGGCTCAGCCTAGGTGTAGTGGATGTCGAGAGGCTGGCCATCGGATCAATGTATGTAAAAATCGTATTTATAACTGAATTTATTCGCATTGGGTTGAAATATTTGAATTTGAATTTGTCTAATGGTGGTGGGTGCGCAGCTCGGCCGGGTGCGCAGCTCGACCGGGAATCACGTTAATGGCACCCCAAAACGCTTATGTAACCGACACCCAACATTAAGATAAGACAAAATAATTCAATTTTTAGGGGGAAATTCTATGGTTTGATTTTATACCCAATTCGCTAAGAACTTGAACATTCTTGGGAATTTCTAAGCTGTTTTAAGTATGTGAGATGGTATAATACCATAGGTAGGTTAAAGCCTGAACTTGGAGGGCTGCAGTGGTCCACCGGCGTTAAATAAGTCTGAAACTGGAACTCCCTCTTTTGATCCAGACAGCCTAAATAAGCCAGTACTAAACTTTGAATATATATGAATTGCTGAAATAAAGAAAATAAATAAAACTATGTTAATGCTTTGTGAATAATTTGCTTTGGCCGAATCAATCTCAATGGCTATAAATTCAAGAAATGTTAATAGCATAGCATATGCACATGTGGCAGAATAAAAATTGGCGTTTCAAACCTATTGATTACATAAGTATTGGGGCGATACCCAAAACAGACTAGCGCGTAAAATCCACTTAACGCGGTCACGTAAACGCGTCGACTCCGTTACTCCGTTACGCTCGACTCCACCCAGCAAATCGTGTCTCGGCGTACGCTTTCGATCTGATTGTTCGTGAATGCGATGTATCGAATTGGGCCCGTTCTTCTTCTCAATTAGCCTCGAATACCCTCGAAACGCTTCAAAGGTTGACTGCATAAGCCCTACCGTCATTCCGCCTCGCTGGCTCCGACACCCCTTCATTTCCTGCTGCCTCACAACGACTCGTGATGGCGAGCATGGACTCAATCTACTCGGCCACTTATAGCAGTGTAAGCCTTCTCTTTCCTACATTTCAATCTAGACTTGATCTGCATACCACCTGGCCACTCTCTTTTTGCCGACGTTCCTGGAGCTGATATTCCTGCAGGTACCGGTGTATGAACTCAAGATTGATGCAGATAGTGTGATGAGACGGAGAGAAGATGACTGGGTAAATGCGACACATATTCTCAAGGCTGCCGGATTTGACAAGCCTGCGAGAACTCGAATTTTGGAAAGAGAAGTGCAGAGGGGAGTTCACGAAAAAGTCCAAGGCGGATACGGAAAATATCAAGGTATCTCGTCTATGGACTAGGCTTCCGGGCTCAATTTGGGGCAATCAATTTAAGATTGAACTAAATCAACTAACATGTTCTCATTCCAGGAACATGGATTCCCCTCACTCAAGCTCGCTTGTTGGCAGAGCGCAACAACGTCCTGGCCAAACTTCTGCCTATTTTCGATTACGTCGCGGGAGATCGCAGTCCTCCACCCGCCCCAAAGAATACTTCCGCTTCCTCGAAACCCAGGGCGCCTCGCAAATCTGCGAAAGCCAAAGAAGCTTCTGCTTCAGCGTCGGCATCGGAAGCCTTCTCTGTTATCCCGGCAAAACCAAAACCAACTCCACGAAACATGGGACCTCCGACCATTCCTCACGAACAACAATATGAGATGAGTACCACATTCGATGACAACGAGTCCATTGAACAAGCAGCCCTCGAATCATCTTCCATGGTTGCAGACGAAGATATGATGCAGTTGTCCCAAACTGGAGGGCGCAAGCGCAAGCGTGGTGTGAATGATGCGCCCGCCATGTCTATTACTGAGCAGGAACACATTATGTACGGAGATGAACTGCTGGATTACTTTATGACTGTCGGCGATGCACCCCAGGCTACACGGATTCATCCTCCCCAGCCTCCGGCCCATTTTCAAGTTGACCGTCCCATCGATGAATCCAACAATACTGCACTGCATTGGGCCTGTGCTATGGGCGATCTGGAGATCGTGCAAGATCTCCTCCGTCGGGCAGCGAATCCGAAAGCATTGTCTATTCATGAAGAAACTCCGCTTGTTCGTGCTGTGTTATTCACGAATAATTACGAAAAGCGAACTTTCCCAGCCCTTCTAGATCTTTTGCTGGAGACTGTGACCTTTCGAGACTGGTTCGGTGCCACCATCTTCCACCACATTGCCGAGACCACGAGAAGCAAAGGTAAATGGAAAAGCTCCAAGTACTATTGCGAGATATTGCTGGATAGCCTTTGCCGCTTCCTTTCTCAAGAGGAACTTGAGATGCTTCTGGCCTGTCAAGACGATAATGGTGATACTGCCGCCCTTGTAGCTGCTCGAAATGGAGCTTTCCGTCTCGTGAACATGCTTGTTGCCCAATGTCCTCGCTCGGGCGATCTGATGAACAAAAAAGGCGAAATGGCGTCGAGAATGTCACATAGGACTCATATCGAAGCTGAGGCTAATCCTCCTGCTCCCTCGTCTGTCACTATGGCAAATGATCAGTTGGACGGTGAGGCAACGATTCCTTCAGATCGTCAAAACATTGCAGAACTTCCGACCAATTCTGCCGTTACCTCGATCCTTCTCTCAAAAATCAGCACTATTATGGCTGAAGCAAACAAGAAACTTGCCGTCACTTATGGCAACTCCAAGATGAATCAACACGACTCCCACGATATCGCTGACCCCGAGGCACTCTTTCAACAGCTTGAGTCGGATCGCGAGAAGATCCAGAGTCTTTTAGCCACACTTGCTGTTAAAGAAGCTGAAAACGAGCCTATCGACGCGCTACGCGAACGCTACGAGAAACTACGCGTCGACTATGAGTCTCTTCTTGAACGCGTCCAACACGCCCGCCTCGTACAGCAATTGGCTGTTACTCCCTTGCCGCCAAAGGTTCCCGCGACCGACCCCTCCTCACTCAGCAAAGAAGAACTGCTCACTCGATACCAACTTGCTCGCGAGTTATCCACGGCACAGAAGACGCGTCGTACGGCTGTCCACGACCTCGTTCAACAGACTGCAGATGCTGGTGTAAGCACCAAATACGATGTTCATCGCAAGCTGGTTGCTCTAGCCACTGGTTTGAAAGAAGAGGAGCTTGATCCCATGGCGGCCGAACTGGCCGACTCGCTCGAATTCCAGCGCATGGGTACTACAGATAAGGCCGCGTCTCCTGATCCGGGTCACCGCCGACTGCCTTCCCAGATGGAGTCCACCACGCTGCCTTCTGGTCATGTACATGTGGATGCTTAATCTGCCCCGGTAGCGTCTGTTGGTTCGTGTACCCATGGTACCTTTTCATGAATCTCCTTTTTACTTCTTCATTTTCGTACACTTCTGGCTTGTCCTTGCATGTCCAGCAGATACCCCTCTAACGTTTCTGACATGTTTTTCATCAGACTTTTTCTGATGGCATTTTTACCTTCTTGTCCCTTTTTTTGACCCGGAGTTTTTTCTTCGCTTATTGTCCCCTCTCCATTTATTATTCTTCTTGATCTGTCCTCCGTCAAGGCAGTTTGGGGCTTGCGGGGAACCTGGTTCAGCCACTATGTAGCTACTTCCTGTGGTCTTTTTCACTTCATGTCAAAACATTCCATGGAGGACTTAACAACAAATGAAAATTTATCTATTATTTGACTTTTTATCCTTTTCTCGACTACTATACTCTCTGTAGTGTCACTGTTTCTTTTTTTTTTTTGATTTGCCACCATATACATGTCATCATTCGATGAACCCTTCCCATTTTAATAGAAGAATCACATCTCCACCGCCACTCAATAATGACCAGTGTGTCACGACCCATATTGACACGAATCTACGTAGATCATAATCACGCTAAAGCCCCATAAACCAACACACAGAACAATATGAACCCCTCGAATAGTACACCATTCATGTCATGATCAAGTGTACTATCACACATCGGAGAGCCTCCGTCAGCGGTTAAGGGGCATCTATTGGCTGCAAGCCCCAGTCTTGGCAGTAACGCCGGGCGGCTCCAGGGGAATTGTGAGACGAAGATGCGGACCTCATGAGGAGGCACTAGCACACCTTCCAACCAATAATAACATCGGGAGATGTGATGGGCATTCTGGACTAGAATGGGCTCATCACGCTTTGGGCGTGTATTCGTTGGTGATTGGATGTTGCTCCCTAATCCCCCCCAGCTCCCTTGGTTCAATGTTCTCAGCCCTGGGGTCAATGGACTAATCGACTGGTCAATGGGAATAAATCGCTTGTTGGGTGGTCAAGGTGTACTCCGTGGTACTCCGGATATCTGGATCTTCGAATCAGAATTCATACTTCGTAAAATCATGCATACCAGCCTGGAGTAGATGTATGTACTCCATAGTAGATCAATGTTGGAGACGAGACATCTGGCTTCCATATAATCTGTATTTCAGCCCAATATCCAAAAAAAAAAACTGATTTGTTGTCCTTTTCCCCTTTTTTTCTTCCCCTTTTCTCCCCTCTCTTTTCTCTCCTCTTTCAATATTTTAATGTTCTTCTTTCACTGGTGATACAATATCTTGGAACATTGACTGGTTCCGTTGTGGGCCTGAGGCACCCACATTGGCTTTCATCCGCTTTTCTTCTTCTCCTCTTCCATTCTCTCCTCTCTCCAACCTCCATTCTTCTTTCTTTTCTTTTTCTTCGCATTCTTTCATTTCCCCGGTTGATTGGGATCCAAAAAAAAAAAATTCTACTTCAATAATAAGTCGTCAAAAAAATAACAAAAAACCCACCTCCCACAACCCACCGTTTGCAAATAGTTCGTCTCCGCGATTCGTTTCCGCCCCTGAAGAAAAAGCATTGTTTGGGAGATTCGATTTGTGCTCCAAAAGCCCCAAATCCACAACCCACACGATCTTCGCATCTCGCATTTCCATTCTTGCATCCTTCGTGCCTGGGGCCAATTTCGTTTCATCTTGCCACCCTCTGTGATTATTACCAGATCTGGGTTGCTTGGCTGATCGTGTTTCGGGATCGCTTCATCCCCCTCGAGATACCCGCGTCATACCGCATCTATTTTCACTTCACTGGGGACTTGCAGAGCATCTCCCCTTTTCGTCTGGTGCTTCCTCGATAGTCTTTATTTGACTATTCGTCTAATTCACTTGCTACAATTTCCCATTTGTGTTGAATTCCCGGTTCCTCGGCTTCCGCTACCGAGAGAAAAGAGAAGAAAAAAAAGAGAAAAATAACAGATCCACACACAACACTATCATCATCATCACCACAACAAACCTTTCTATTGTACAGCTTGATAATACTGGCTTCACTTTTCCTTCGTGGTCTGCATTGAGAGTCTGTTCAGCAGCATTATTATTGCATACCTTCGCTTGTGGTCCGTGACCTAGAATTCTGCCTAACGAACCTTCACGCACGGATTTCGTGATTCAAGAAATCGCGTCGTCTGAACCCCCACGATCACTGCTCTCAACTGGAAACCTGGAATCTTCTCTTGGTTTCTACATACCTTTCTTCACTTAGATTTTTCATAATCATCTAATTCACTGGGAAAGCTTGAAGCTTCGTGGTTGATCCCAAGCTCGCCATCCCACTTCGTTCTCGGATACCTTACCTCACTTCGACCCGACTGTTCACTCCAAGCCTTTGCACATACCTTCTCTCACCCATCTCACACCTTCTTCTCGAACTATGAGCATGGACGCTGGCGGTCTAGCTCAAATGACGTACAACAACTCCTTCAATAATGGCAGTTCCCTCGGAGTCCCAAGCTCTGGCTTCGCCTCCCGGGGGAAAGGCTCTCACATCAAACGCCTGAGCGTACCTCCCAAGATCGCCACTATCGATGAGTCGCAGGCATCGGCCTCGATCGCAACCCCGCGCACAAGTCGGTCACACCTTTTGGCCGGGCTTCGAACCGCCCCCCGATCCGCAACCATTCCTTCGCAGCAGCAACGTCACGCCATGGACAGTCTCCGTATGTCGGGTCACCGCGAATCCGACCGCATTCCTCAAACAGCCACGGGAGCTGGATTCCCGCAGCACACTTACGCATCGCATAACATGTATTCGCAGGCGCAGCCACAATCGCAGTCACGACAACAGCATCGCCAAGGACAGGGCCACAACCAGAACCAGAGCCAAAGCCACAACCGCCCCATGTACACTCTTCCGGAGCAGGTGCTTGCACCTCCCACGCTTGACATTGGTGGTGGTGAGGTGATGGACGAGAATCTCTATGCGGAACTGATGTCCACCAATCTCTTTCTTGCTGCGCAACAGCAACGTCTTCAGCAACAGCTGATAAACGTTACAGCGGCAGCTCAGCAGCAGTTTCAGAATATGAACCTGGGGATGTCCCTTTCCCAGCAGCAGCAACAGCAGATGCATGGACTGTCGATGCCTAATGTTGGTTTCTACCAACAGCAGCTTCAACAGGGTGTTCAGCCGGTTGTACAGCCGGTTCCAGGTCAGCCTGGTCTGTTCTCTGTCTTCAACCCTCTGACTGGTCAGCAAAGCTACGTGATGGACAACAGCTCGCAGGAAGATACTTCCTTCCACGGAGACAATTACCCCGCCGACCTCCAGGTGCCTCAATTCCGCGCTGAGATCTCCCCACCTGCGGACTCTACTTCCTCGCAGAATTATTTCTCCCAGCCTGTCTCTCCTCCCACTGGTTCCCCCTCCCCACCCACGGAGTCATCTGGCGGTGCATTCCGTCGGAACCACCGCAAGTCCCCATCTTTCAACCCGACGGTGAAAACGACTATTGATACGAGCAAGGCAAATGCCGGATTCGGTCCTCGATCCGCTGTTTTCCCTCCTACTCCAGCGACTGGAACCTTTGGACCTGGTCAGGCGCGTGCTGGCGAGCATCCTATCCGCCAGCCTCGAGGCCCGCCCGCGCTCGAGGATCTTTTGGCCAAGCCCACTTCCAAGCATGAGGGAAGCAAGAACTTTGCGACTCGGCAGCGACGCCGTGCTGTTCACAACCTTGTTCGTGCTGGCATTGAGCGTCGTGGTGATACTCGCAGCTATGGATACAATAGCAGCGGTGGCACTAACACCCCCGCGAGTGAGAAGGAGTTCACATTCTCGGATGGTGATGATGCTACTGTGCGTAGTGGTAGTCTCTCGAGCAAGCCTAGCCTTGGTAGTTTGCGTGCGGCCGCCAACGGTGCCATTGGCTCCGAGCGCAAAGAGAAGTCTGGTCGCCGGTCTCTTCCTGAGAGTCCCTTCACGAGTGTCTCTCCTACCAGTGAGGACGGATACTTCTCAGCCAAGTTTGCTGAGGTTCGTGCTGAGCAATTCTCTTCGCACTCAGAGGCTTCCTCTCCTTCTGTGGCGGCTGTCGTTGCTGGCCAGGGCCAGGCTGCCCAAGGACCTGAGCGCCGCAAAACTCCAATGCTTGTTTTGTCCAGCGCTGAAAAGCGCAAGACTCCCCTCATGTAATGCCGACCATCATGTGATAAACCGATTATGACCTTTCCATTATTCCATTCTTAGTGCAGGCCTTCTTTTTGCCTACTTTTTTTCCCCCTTTGCCTTTCAAGCTATTCCAAAACCTTTGTTTTCTTTCCACCTTCCAACCTTCATTCCATTAGAGATAATAACTCTCTCGAAGAGCCTTATTGGCTTACCATTCATTCGCCTGGTATCCTCAGCTCTGGCAACTTTGACATTGCCAACTTTGATGTGTGCGTGTGTTGCGATGACAGATTTCGATCAGTCTTGATTGACTTTTTCTTCATCCTCTTCTTTTCCTCTATTCTTACACTTTCCTTCAAAGTGTCTATTTTTCCTGTATGCCCTTATGGGGGTTTCATTTCATTTCATTTTTTTTGAACATCCACTTCTGTGGTTTGATCAAGCTCACGCTTGCAAATGAAAATTTGCAGGGCCCGAGATGATCGCGACGTGTATAGCCGTCGCCTACTACCTTCACTTGTTCCTTTTTCGGGTTTCTGACGTACATCCGGTTATGTACAGTCTCACCCACGGGTCCCTTGTACCCTCTAGTGCAATACATGGCTCTACAGCCGATATTACAAAGTTCTGGTATTGTGCATAAGACTTAACATTCTAAGTGTATTCGTCAGACTTGTAGTCTCCATCTAGGTACCATATATTTTGTCCCATAATCGTCTATGTGTGTATAAGGGTGACTTTTATACTCCTGGGTACGACTGATAACTTGGAACCCTCCAGCTGGAAACAGTCTCGTAGTATTTCCAGCATAGCTCCATACCAACGAATCGAAACAGTCTTATGTAGTAGTGACCAATCCAATCAAAAACACTCAACGTAAAGAAAGAGATTCAAAGCCATCCTCGTCTCACAGTTCCCACGTGGAAAAACAAAACGCCCAAGCTCCAAGTCCTGCACCGTGGCAAGAACATGGCAACTCAGATCAGCAGATCCATCCACACCCAAAGCCTTGGACTTGGAACCGATCCTATAGGGAATAGATAAGATTGCGCGGTTGGACGGCAGATGCATAATGCAAGATTGCCTGATTAGAGCCTTGGAGGTACATGGTAAGTCTCGGGTAGAGGGGAGGTTGGATTGCCGAGTTCTTCACGGTTTGCCGCATAGGTCTTTGATTGTACCTGGTACTTGGTACTTGATTTTCCTTCTAATTTCGGTGCTGGGATGAGTGTCATTAAGATTGATTATTCCTGATTTCTGGTTTTCTTTAGGGATAAGAGTTGTGCTGTAGGTAGTTTGTCGTGGATTCATATTATGGTTAGGATGAATCTAGTGGAGATGAATATATCAGATGCTAATAAGTTAAATTTAAGATCAATACGAACTATTCAAGTTACTAGTAGTTAATCACTTCAAGTAAGAATGGTATTGATAGTAGTATTTAGAGTGTTCTTAGTCAATATTATATTTGTTACTAGTACATATGGCCTATCGAAGATAAACTCCTTCATAGGAACGCTTCAATCTTGTCTTGAATATGAGTTCAAGAACAGACGCTAGTAATATCATGATATTTATCAACTATAAGAGCAGTCAGATCCATAGGACAAATGAACATATGGGCATCGGTAGAAGTTTTAAGCTTTGCTCATGCCACCTGTACATTCTACCCAAGCATTATGAAAGTCAAAGGTAGAAGAAAACTACTACTTTCAAAGTCAAACTCCACAAAAATTAAAGACTCCTTCCAAATCAGGGCGTAATACTGCATCAGCGTAGTGATCGTTATGCGCATTCGCTGTTATTGTCCGTTGCCCTAAACTTCTCTTCTGCAAAGTCCAGGGGATCCATCCCCGTCCTTACCAAGCCTGGAGGCTTTTCTCAAGTAGCAGTAACCTGGAACTGAGATTTCTGTCTGACACTCCAGGTCAGATCAGAAAGTACAAAAAGAAAAGAAAGGTAACAGAAAAAGAAGAGGAAAGATCTAGACACCTCGGGCCGAGAACTCAAAGCCCTCACGAACTCAATTCAACTTGAACGGATTTTTAGACTTTGGCAAGATGTTCTCAGTAAACTCTCCGCGTGGAATGTGCACAGAAATGGTAGTTCGAGATACGAAGATTCGTGTGTCTACTGGTAAAGGCATGGCCATTGGGTCTGGGTCTTATGGCGTTACTAGTGCTCACGTTGATGAATGTGACCTAGATCCACTATTATCATTGCTTATGGGAACTGCTCATGTGGGAATTGATGATTCTGCTATACACAAAGTGTAAAGGCGATCGTGACTAGTAACATGTTAGAATTCAGGAGGTAATGTAGGTGTAAACCGGAGATATTCACCCCGGAGAATGCAGTACAGAAACTGTTCGTATGTTCAATATTAGACTGTGGTAGTTCAAGAAATGCTAGTATTTTTGGATCTTTAGATCGCAAGATCCAAAATAGGGAACAGCCTTGACTGGATCCATGGATCCAATATTATATTGACTTTCGTACATGCAGATCTATCGGAGCGAAACGCCCAATGAATGGACCACTGAGTATGTACAACTAGTCTTAGGTCTCAGTAGAACATCAGGTTGCTATTAGGTCCAAACTAGACACCACAACCCTCAAGTTGAAAGAAAACCAATCTATCAGTCTCAAATGCTCAGTTTTGATCTAATTTTGATCTTCCTTCTTGCTGGTTACAGTCTTAACCTGGTCAATTGTACATATGCAAAGCAGAGAAACCAGCGTTAGACATCCCTTGTCACTATGACGGGCTCTGCAGCCACAGATTAGGTATTGGTCCCTGCGTCTTTCCAGGTTGGACCGACATCCTCGGTAGGTCCAGCTAGTGGAGGGGCCGTGTGACCTGAATAGGGGGCAAAAGGGTACCTAGGTGACACGGGAAGGTGGTGCAGTCGCATTGCTGCATTGAGGTCCGGATGAGGGTGGGGAAGCTTGCGTACATCCCAGGTGTAGAGTTCCCCAGAAAAAATGGAACAAGCATATGAAGGAACCTGGAACAGAAGAAGTGATACAATGAATCAAATATGATAGATTATTCAAGTAGACTTGAATATAATCTGATTTTTCGTATCCTCGGCATGCCGAGAGAGTAGTCTCGGGTGTGTATCCGTTCGGCGTAGGGATAGCTGCATACATATCTCATGCAAATATTATCATTTGATTCGTGTTGGAGGGATCTAGGGCCACTGGAAGTTTATTCAGGATTGGTAATCATGTCTTCAACCTGTACAAGTCTCAAATCTAGGCTTCTTCAATCTGGGACTTGGCCCCTGCGGATGGCTGTGGGTGACACAATGACGAAGGAGCTGCGAGGCACTGGCTGACATCATTATGGTGTTCTGATGAGAGCGTTTCTCAAATGCTTCCTGCATCTTCCCTCAACTTGAATGGAAATTCAAGATCTGGGCATGTGCATACCATCAAACTACCATCTGTGGCAGACTTAAGTCATAGATGAGTCATGGGAGAGAAAGTGGCGGGAGACTACAGAGGATTCACATTTAATAAAGTTTTCATCTGTTTATTTATTTATATTTACTAGGATTATTGGATCAAAGACTAGTACTGTTTCCGAGTCAAGTCTAATTAGGCATGCGGACCCACGTATGCTTCGTCAGTTTGATTATCTGGCTACTTCTTACAGGGAAATGAAAGGGTGAGATTCCTTCCGATGGTGTGATTGATCCATGAACCGAAATAAACATTGGAACATTTGAAAGTACCCAGGTGTACGCGTATACCGTGTTAGGATGGTCTTGTCAGGAACAATGCATTAGGGATCGTTCCCCTGTCGGGTGATTTCCAACAAGTCCCAGATACAGCATCTGGGTGAAATCGGAATTGACCATATGTATCTAGTCCTTGATAAGAAGAACACGCGGATCTCTACTTTATCTCTATGTATAGCTCATTTTGAAGAATCTTGATGTCGGGTTTACTCCTCGCGCCGGCTCCACCCCGGGATTCTGCAAACCTTTTCTTGACTACGAGTACGAGTACTTTGTTTTGGTTTTCTCAACGATCTCCCAAGAATTACTCTGTATGTGCCCAATATGTGTAGAGATGGTGATTGTTTGAACCATTCTTGTGACTTGTGGTACCTCATGGTCTCCGTGAAACCAGAATCGTTTACTAGCTCTATTACCAACGAGCTCGGACTCACTTCTCCTTAAGTGCTCACCTCACTGCTGACTCGTTAGACTGAATTCCCAGGATCCAGGAGACTATGCTGATCCGGAAAGCTTCGATAAGCTACAATCCAGACTGTCGATCTTTCTGTGGCGATCCAACCTAGTGGTAGATATGGGTCTCCCGTCTCGGAGTATACCCGGACAATGGGATGTGTGAAGAAGGGTGCACTTGACCGTGTGTCGTGACTTTCGTCCAAGCCTTCGATCTGGGCATCTAGCACCGAATCCCGGTGATTTATGATTGTGGCAAATCAAAAAATAAAAATAAAAAATAAAAAAAAGTTGAGAAACCGGCACGGACGGCTTTCCCCCCCCCCTCCCCGACTCCAGGTACATTGTCTCCTTAATGCTGGCGGGGAAGGGGGAAGAAAAGAGAAAAAAATAATAATAATTAAAAGACGTTTTTCTTCATGTGGTCTGTGTATTTTCCAACTGGATGACAATGTTCTTTTTTCATAAGTCTGTCACCAGCCGCATAAGAGGCCAACTTGAAGCTACAGTTTTCTTGGTGCTCACGATCTATTTGATACATGTACGAGCTCGCTGGTGCTCTCTTTCTCAACTCTTGATTTTATTTTATTTTGATTCTTACAAATGCCATCATCTACCGTTTCCCAGATTTCTCAATGAATGATGTTGTTTGTGACATAATTGTCATTCCTGGCAGCGGGCCTTCCCTCCAATTCTGTCTGCCTGCCCTAACTCTCATAACGCCCCGACGTATGGGATAGACTCCCTTGTGGCCACCGTCGTTGATTTGTTACAGCTGCATGAAACAAGCTAAATAAGGAGAGCTTATCCAGTGAGCTATCATTAGAAGCTCATGTGGGTTTCCCGGGAGAAGATCTCCCTTCTCTAGTGGATCATGATCTCACATAACTGACCCCCGTTGCCAGGTGACAATCTCCTCTATACGAACCAAACCACGATTACACCAATATTCGAAAATCCATTGAATTTGCATCGGAACTGGTGGGGTAAATAGGAAACACTGATTTTAGAGGGGCTTTGTATATCGGATTTAAAAGAAAGTAACCTTGATATCAATATCACAGTCATGGCTGGGGGCTACTTCGAGGTACCTGTGTCAAGCCGCGCAAGTGTTTCTGATATTGGGACAGGGTCAAACAAAATATCTTCAGTGTCACATCAAGCATCTCTGCCCCTGCCTGATGATAGCTTGCAGACCCAGCAGGCGTATCAGGACTTGAAATCAAACGGTGCTGGTACACAGGGCAGGCATCGGAATGCAAGCATTCTGAAAACCACCAATCGTGTCAAGTTTACTGTGGATGAACCAGAGCAATATGCACCCACTATCGGAGCTACGGGCGAATCCCGACTGGACCGAAGGGGTACTGTGCTCCCTCAAAGACCTTTACCCACTGCCAACATTCCATTCATACAGGAAAAAGGGTCCGTGAACCTACCTACTGTACCCTCACTGGACGAAGAGAGCTCCGGCGCGTCACCCGATGTCACCGGCCTGGTGATCGACCAGCAGACAAGCTCATCGGGAAGCGGAAGAGAAGATGAGCTCAGCCTTAGTACAAATGACAAAGGGCGGACCTTATCATATGCGCAGGAGAGGGTCCAGCGGCTAGCATCCCTTCTAAGTTGCCCCCCAAAATCTCCGAAATCAAGCCCTCAACCTAGCCTGAACTCGTCGATTGCGTCCCTTCCGACTGAGGCAGTAGTCTTTCCCTCCGAAGATGGGGATGAAGTTCCTATGATCAGCTTCCCTGAGAAACAACAACTCTTCGACGATATTACTGCCGGTGAGGATGATGCGGGTTTCGTAAATGGACGATTTAATCCTCGCACATCCGAAGCTTATAACCTCGTGCGACAAATGTCCCAACGAGACTTCTCCTTTTTGACTCGCGTTCGTCCTCCATCTCCCGGTCCTCTGTCCGGCTCGGTCATCCCGGTCGAGGACAGAGATTCCGAGAGCTATGTCGAACGACCAACCCATTACCGTGGGGGTGTTCTATCCTCCATTCTAAAATTATACGATGGCCAGACTGGTGGACCTCCACATTATCATCACCAAGAACGGGGCCGGTGGGCTCGTTCCAGGAAAGGGAGTTCATCTGAGTTCAGTGGACGTGGATTATCTCCTGATCCTATCTGGAAATCACACCGGCCAAGGAAGTGGTACGAGAAGTCACCTAGCCAGTCTAGTAGTACACTCATCGGTTCATCAATCAAGGACACATCTCCCATTGCTATGCTGAAGCGATCTCGCAGTAGCGGAGCAATTGGAGGCGTGGCACGTCGATGGGCGAAACAAGATCACTTTGAAGACGAAATCCGAATCACGGTTCATATTGCGGAAATATTGACACGCCAACGATATCTCATACGACTTTGTCGTGCTCTAATGAAATATGGAGCTCCTACCCACCGACTGGAGGAATACATGCGGATGACGGCTCGGGTCTTGGAAATCGATAGCCAGTTCTTATATTTCCCGGGATGCATGATAATCTCCTTTGATGATGCCTCTACACATACGACAGAGGTGAAAGTCATCCGTGCTAGTCAAGGCGTTGATCTTGGTAGATTAGCGGACGTACACGAGATCTATAAGGAGGTGATCCATGATGTGATTGGTGTGGAAGAGGCTATACAACGGCTGGACGAGACATCCAAGAGACCGAACAAGTACCACATGTTGGTCCTAATACTTGCTCACGGCTGTGCAAGTGCGAGTGTGGGCCCATTTGCGTTCAATGCGCGACCAATTGATATGCCAATTGCGTTTTTACTAGGATGCTTACTTGGCATCTTACAGCTTATCCTATCACCGAAGTCAAGTCTATATTCCAATGTCTTTGAGATCTCCGCAGCGGTCTTGACATCCTTCTTGGCGCGTGCTTTTGGAAGTATTCGATTTCAGGGACATCCTCTCTTCTGCTTTTCTGCGCTGGCACAAGCTTCCATCGCTTTGATTTTACCTGGGTATACTGTGCTATGCGCCAGTTTGGAACTCCAGTCTGGCAGTATCATCGCGGGCTCCGTGCGTATGGTCTACGCAATTATCTATTCCCTCTTCCTTGGATTTGGAATTACCATAGGTACAGCTGTCTATGGTTTACTCGACGCTCAAGCCTCGAAAGAGTATACATGTCCTCCCAGCCCAATCAACAATGAGTATCTCGAGCGATTTCCATTTGTGCTGATGTTCACAATATGTCTGGCTATCGTGAACCACTCAAAGTGGAAACAAATACCCACCATGATGGTGATATCCTTCGCAGGGTACGTGGTCAGCTACTTCAGTTCAAAGCGCTTCTACGCCAATACCCAAGTCTCGAACGCGCTCGGCGCCTTCGTTATTGGCATCATGGGGAACTTTTACAGTCGACTTCGTCATGGTCTTGCAGCAGCTGCAATGCTTCCTGCTATTTGGGTTCTTGTCCCATCAGGTCTTGCAGCGAGTGGGTCCTTAATCTCAGGGATCACCTCCGCAGAAGAAATGACTCGGACTCCGTATGCAGTCGTGAATAACGGAACACAGGGCTTTGTCGATGCGGCGAAGAATATGACTGCCGCTGAAGCAAGCCACCAGAGTTACGGCGTTGTTTTTGATATTGCGTATGGTATGGTCCAAGTTGCTATTGGTACAACTGTGGGATTATTCCTGGCTGCTCTTGTCGTTTACCCATTGGGTAAGAAGCGCAGTGGACTGTTCAGCTTCTGATCTAACTCGTCGGCACTACTTTCGAGGTTCTTCCATCCAAACCTTCCACACCCTATATTCCTCCTTGGATTTGCTTCCTTGTTTTTTCAGCGAGTTATCTTGGACATTTCGCATCTGCGTATTCCCCAAATGCCCTTTAATACCTCGAACAGCAATCGAGGCGGGGGCTTGTTGCTGTTTTCATTCTCAAATTACATTTTTGCACGTCTGGTCATCTCCTACAGATGAGATATGGACTATCCACCCTTGTCCCATAGTCATTCCATTCTTTACTCCCGTCTTTTGTCTTTCATACACCAATCTCCCTATCTATTCAACTTTTCGTCCCTCATCGACAAAGTCTGTATCGACTCCCGTCCTTCCGGACATCCCAGTCCGGACATACATAGAAGATACGATTCTACGAGTCACGACAAAAATCATCGAGGCCCACTTTTGCGCTTCTTTCTTGATCTCATCTGATTTTATTATCTCTGGTTTTCTGTTACTCTCTTGTGTTTGCCATTTTTGCTCTTCTTTTTTCTCTTATGGTTTCATAACTTGGCTTCACTAGTTCTATTGAGAAATTGTTCGTCTGTCGCATGTTGCGTCGCGCGTTTGGGGGTCCGCTTATAGCATCATGATGTTTGTTATCTATTCAGTATTGCTGTTTATTATGTCTTGTTTTGCATTGGGTAACTTAAATCTTGAATTGAATCAATTATTTGCTATTTGCTATTTTCTTTACTTTATCACTTCTTGCTCTATGTACTATGCGGATGTATCCAGATGTCCATGTCCATCTGGGCGTCTTTAGTACATCAATCAACAACGTCAACGAACTTGAAATGTTGAATGGTAATATAGTGCACATGTGATGTCTGCTGAAAATACCCTCAAAACTTGAAACAATACCTACAGTATGTACTACAACTAGTATTTTCCCATAGTTCATGGATGTAGATATTCAATGGATTCGGAGCTATAGCACTCCAGCCTATGGTAAGGTACAACAATCGTTGAGACAATAAACAAAAAAGAGAGAACACCAGATTCAATCCCTCACACGGTATATTAGAAACATCACAACACCGAAACTCCAGTGCTTGCGAAACGAAGTGCAATGCAAACCCACCCAACTACCTTCATAATACGCCTCTGTCCCAGCATCGGACGGAAAAACAATGGCTCGTCAAGATCATCATAAATCAGATGGGTTATCTCCAAAATCTCAGCTACCAAAGCCGAGGGAAAGAGATATAGAAAAGGGAAAAGGAGGTCAGGACGAATAAGAAAATGGAAAAAAAAAGTCGCTTGAAAGTAATACATTCGCCCGTTCACTAGCCTATCATCGTCTTTCCACCCGACTTAGCGCTCCAAGAATAATGCCTAGATCCTCACGCGGCCTTTCAACTGGTGCCTTTTGTGGACTCTGCTCTCCGTCGTCGCCTTCTATTGCGAGTCGTCGCTGGGTGTTTAGCGCGTCACGCTCTTCCAGGCGTTCGGCACAGACGCGAAGTATTCGTGATGAGACTGCGTCGGCGCTTGAACGGTAGAGCTCAATATCGTGGATTCCAGCGGCAAATGAATCCATTGTGGGTGCAAGACTAGTTGTTATTTTGGAAAGGCGGGAGGAGACGGCGGAGGGAGGAATCGGTGGTAGGGGTTGTGACGAGGAAGTTGAATCATTTGACGGTTGGGACTGGACCGTGCGTGAAGATAAGGGTTGTAGAGATGCAAGGATAGCTTGCTGAGAGGGGTCGAGGAGGGAGGAGTCGATGTGTTGAGGTGAGTTTTTGGGGTATCGTTTGGAGGATTTGGGGAATTCTGGAGCAGCAGGGTTGATGGGTGGAATTGGCGGTTGTTTAAGAAGTGCGTTCAGAGCTTGTCTCTCTTTTTGAAGCCTGTTTCAATCAGATTAGCGATGGAATTCTTGGGCCATTATTATGGGGTATTGCCATACTTGTGTATTTGCTCCTCCAATTCCTTGATCTTGTCTGTATTCTGCACATTCCTTGGATTCGGCTTCTTCACAATCACGGTGGGTGGGTTGAGGTCCTCCCTGCTGAACCAGTTTGAAAGATCCGAGTTTGAAGAAAAGTCCTTCAGTAGCTCATCCTGGATGACTCGAGCTAAAAATCTATTAGTCTCACTCCTAAGAGGTTCCTGTAAATTTGGTGAAATTACCTGCTAGACGCGCACTCTGATCCTCCTGCGAGTACTTTGAGCCAGAAGGCTTTTCTCCTAATGCACGCGTCGCACACCATATGAGAAGCTGGCGCATTCGTCGCGGCTCTGGTAGACCTTCGTCAGCAATGTGCTTATAGAAATCAGCAGTGCCAACTTCACGGTGCGGTAATGCTGTAGCAGAGAACACAGATTAGCTTCTCTTCCTCAAAATCTCTAAAATCAAATAAACCCGTACCATTAGAGGCCCCTGAGTCAATCAAAGAACTGGCTCTTCGCCCCCGCATCCCCAAACTGCTCCGCCGCCGACCCTTCGCTGATTTCGCGCCTCGAAATTCCTTGTTCCGCTGAATAACTGGTGTGTCCGATGTGGGCAGAGGCACCGTTTTACCCGCTGGAAGCTCCGGGGATCTGAACCCATTATTTTCAATTGGTTTTGAACGAGCCGGTCGTCCCCTCTTTCCCTTCTTATCATGTTGCGCATTCGCAGGAGACTCATGGTTCCGTGATGGACGTGTCGAATTCAATTGATGCGCCGCTTCAAGCTCGACGTCTGCCGTATGAGCTGTCCTCTTTGGTTTTCTCGTCGGAAGTTCTGTTGATTTCCCCTTTGCTGGTACCGCACTAGATCCCCCATTTACATCCTCTGCTGGTCGTTTCTTAGGTGGTCGGCCCCTTTTCGGTGTAGACTTAGGATGCGCATTTTCCACATCTGAGTTTGGATTCTCTGAAATCGGTTCAACGGATGCTCTGGGTCTCTTGGTAGGTTTTCGGGAAAACCGAAATCCTTCTGAATCCTCCTCGTAATCTATCAACAAGCATGCTGTTAGTATCTTGATTTCCCTGGTGACTACTCCTTGCCAAGGGTGAAGGCGCCACTCACTCGCTTTCCGTTTTCCGTCGTTGTTCGCAAGTTCTTCTAACCCATTTTGCGATGCGCTCAGTCGTGTTGCTGGGCGTCCTCGGCCAGAACGCGATTGCGCTTGTGTGCCCGCCATTCCAATTGTCCCCAGCGGTTCGCGGCACTTTATTTTCGTGACAGGGGCCGCTAAAACCGCGATGGTCATGTCAGGAGGGGGTCACGCGGGACCTTGGGTTGAGTATGATGGGGGTTGTGACAGACCCCTCGGTAGATGAATCCCCGGGGGGGGTTAATATTGGCGCGTTTTCCCCCTCTATTCCAAGCTGATATTTCTTTAATATCAGGGGCCGGTGTCTCTTGGTCGAAATGTGATCGTGAGTGGGTTGTTCCACAGAGCCGTTTTCGCGTTGATGTTATGGTTGGGTCCTCCACCGCCAGTTCTCAGTCGTGGGCCCCCTTCAATTGGGCTTAATGATTAGGTGACAATTGAGATTGAAGATTGATTCCTGTTTTTCGTATGCGCAGGGTGGAAATAACATGCCCGCAATGAAATAGCTGCGGGCGGCAAGGGAAGCGCAGGTGGGAGGGATTCGGGCACGCGGTTGTTTTGGTCGGGGACAAGGCGCGTGGGGCCCTAGTCCCTTTTGGGAATCCCCTCAGTAATCCGGTTAAACATCATACTATATAGTACTGTAGAGTACTGCAAAGCAGTCTATATGTCTATACGTCTAAATTTTTAATTTATGACTTCTAAGATGATAATTCTGTACTATGCAGTTGTATGATAGTACAGCATCGAATCAAAAAATAGTGGGAGAACACAAGATGTCGTATATTATTCACAATTATGATAATGCAATGCCATTGTCTGAAAGCTGCCAGGCTCTCAATTCCCTCAAAGGGAACGCTACTGTGCAGATGCTACTAGATGGAAAACAAAAAGACGCTATGTAGCTTCAAGGCCTCCAACACCGAACTTGCACGCGTAAAAACATGGAATATGTCCACGGAAAAGAAAGAAACAACCCAAAAAGAAAATGAAGATGTCACTAGGGATCAAGCTCTTTTTTCTTCTTTTTTTAATATCGTGCTCGTATGATGAATCCCAGCAATAATCTCAAATTTATTGCATAGCATCATCGACGGGAAGTGTAAGGGCAGGCTGTACAATGCTGCCTTCAATACGACGTCTGGCTTCTTGCACATCCTCAGCAGTGACTTGTTCTGCCTTCTTAGGCATATCAGGCTCATGCTGAGAGATTTCTGGGCTGTGACCAACTGACATTCCAACTCGGATCTGTTTCAAAAATCAGTCATTAGTATTAGCTGGAAAAAAAAGCAGAAGCAAATTGGCTCTTACCAGTGTTTCAAGGGGACCCTTGGAGTTGTCCACCAAGTCAGTATCAAAGTTGACCACACCGTCCTCAAACAAGACAAGCAGTGTACTGCCACCAAACTTGAAGTAACCAAGCTCTTCAGCTCGGCCAATCTTCTCACCAGCCTTCCGCGTAATCACTGTACTGCCAACCATCATGGCACCAACACAGACAACCATGACACGCCCATGAGCCACAGAGTCAATAGGAACTAAAACACGCACGTTCTCTCCATACACATCCAATGCCGAGCGTATAGCCATTGGATTAACTGTGTAGTATTCACCCTCGATGGTTTTCGGCTCGCCCATAATTCCATCAACAGGAACATGGAATCGATGGTAATCCTGAGGCGCCAACCGGAATACACCAAGAGCTCCATTTCGGTAACGTGCGGCATCTTCTGGGTAGGCATTACCAAGTAATCTCTCAACAGAGAATTCACGACCCTTAACCCAAATACTGGTGGCTTCATCCATCCGGTCAAAGACCACTGAACGGCAGTCCGCTGGGGACACAACGACTCTAGGGTCATCGGGTGCCGAGCATGGTCGCGCATCGGGCTTCAGCGCTCGGTAGAAAAACTCGTTGAAAGTGCGGAATTTGCCCAAGGGCAAAAGTACTTCTGTCATATCCAGTTGATGGAAATTGATGAAATCGCGAATCTGGCTAGCAGATGCAGGGTCATCATACTTGCGACCCTGCTTAATACTTAAGGAGCGCAGAACGCGACGAACTGGAAAAGAAAGTTATTAGAGGTAATAGGCCGGGTCATCAAGGAATGCAACTCACTTCGCTTCTTTTCCATGTCCTTGCTCTTGATACCCTTGTAGAGAAGTCGGATTCCAAGACGAACATAGACACTCATGCGCTCCTCGTTGATCTGGCCAGTTATTCGATCCTGGACTAAAATATTGGCTGAATTGGCTCCCAGTCGATAACCACCGTAGGAGATCTTGGTGATAACCTTTGAGTACCATTTACGCTGGGCTTGACTGGAAGTCACGAATCCACCCATGACAAGGTTATCGACCTGTCGCCAGTCACGACTGGCACATGTCGCAATGTGAGTGATGATATCCGCATCTGATCGTTTGGCGAGACGAGGCTGGTGGCACAGAGGGCATTCACGGATTTCTACGACATGCTCCTCTCCCCTCTCATCAACAAGATCGTCGGCGCGGAGTTCTTCATCAGTCGAGCTTGGTTGTTCCTGATCATCACTAGACACAGTTGGCACCGCTGTTGGGCTTTGATTAGCATGTTGTTTGACGGTGCTGGGTTCTAAAGCGAGCTCATCGCCGCTGGATGGCTCCTCACTTTCTTGACTGCCGGTAGGCGATGTTCCAAGTGCAGGTCTTCGGAGAGGTGAAGGAGAATTCTTCTTCTGCAATGCTTGTAACGTATCTTCGAGACAGATCACAGCCTCGTCGAAACTCAGGTCGACTGACTCAGCGGAGATATTCTTGTCGCTGAATCGCTGGAAGAAAGCGTCGATTGTTGATTCTTTAAGCGTGGAGCCAAGGGTATCGAGCATAGTGGTCATTTCGATCTTGTCGATGCGACCACTATCATCGGCATCGTATTGCTTCAACATGAGTCGCCAAAATTGCTGTCGAAGAGCGCTGTACGGCAGATACTTGGCTTTAACAAACAATTCTGGATTATGTTTGTCTTCCCAACGATCACGATTCTTCAGGGTTAGAGGAATAGTGTACGGGCGCAAGCCCTCCTCATCGGCAGGGGGGATGTTCTCAGGCTCTGCCGGCGCTGTTGTAGCAACTGTTGGTACTAACAGAGTAGAACTACTGCCATCAGATTGGGGGAGGTACTGTTCTGGCACTGATGTAGGTGGAGGTCGCGTGGGCATTTCCAGGGCCGACTTGGCAGACAGCGAATTAGAAGAGGTGCGCGATTTCAATGTAGGCCGTGACATTTTGCTCAGGCTTGATGACGATGGCGAGGAACTGAGGGGAAGACGAGAACTAGATTTCGCAGGAGGAATAACTTCTTCCTCTGACTCGATAAATTGGTACAAGCCTGTCTCGGGATCGGCTTCTGGGGCAGATCGAATAAGGGTCTGCAAAGGAAAACCCGCAGAAGCAACAAAATCATTACCCGAGAACTTGTCTCGATCCATTACTGTAAAACTAATTGTGTAAGTTTGCTCATGTCGCATTACCTGAAAGACCATCTTCTCATGGAAGACTGGATTCAGGTTGTGACGAACAACCGGTGTTCTTAGTGTTTTCCTCCCGAGTGAGGTCACAACAAATGGGTCCATATCAAAAGAGGTCCGGGTCACTGGAATAATTATTAACAGTCTGAATGGCTCACGGGGATCTCGATAGGACATACCATTCTTTTCAGGAGGAAGATCTGTCACTTTAAGAATCTCCATAAAGACAATGCCCTGGACACCGGTGCCAGCACCTGAGAACTGATATGCCCGAGCAGCCAGAGACTTTCTTCTTAAACGAGCCAATCGAAGCCTTCGGCGGCGTTTCTCAACGACCTCCGGTTTTGTGGGATCATCCGTCTCGTCCGAGGTCTCTTCGTCACGGTCAGGATCATCTAGGTAAGCTGCTGGAATCTCAATTGCATCATCTTCATCGCCAGCGCATACGACCTTCTTGAATTTTCGATATGTGTCGGAGGGTGAGGCAGAGGGGTTGGCCGAGTCTGAGAGAGAGAACTGGAGTAAAATCTCCCCGGATACGTTGCTGTCCTTCTTGTTCTTCTTCTTCCGGTTCGAAACGCGTTTTGACTTGAGGGTGTACCATGTTGGCTGAACGTCCAGATGTTAGCCATGCTTTTGTTTTTTCCTGTGTTTTCATCCTCGTACCTCTTTCTTGATCTGCCCATCTGAAAAGATATCCTCCAATGCAATATCGAACTCGCCTAGATAATCCTTGCCGAACCGGTCATGATCCCAACAGATACACTCGAGCAGTGGGACTCCCCCCGAGTGGCATTTCAAACGACACGTTCCATTCCGGGTTCAGGGATTTGAATATCGTCGGTGTCGACTGCCGTCCATCTCCTAATGTCACGACCAGATACTATAATTTTTCCGCATCAGCACTCTGGGACCCACCAAATTCAGGGTCCATTTAATGGCCGGCACAGCCCACCACATCCACCTACCGGATCACTTGTGCCACCTCGATCTTTTGCTGCCAAGTTTCGTCCCTATTATGCAAGCGCATAGCACGCGCAGGTTAGCCATGAGGTCTCGTTTTGATTTGTGGTCGTCCGATCCTTATCTCTCCCGCTCTCTCCTCTTAAAGGGGACACCGTGGTGGTTTGGCAGCTGCCTAGGGGATGGAATTGGCTTTGCCTTACCCGAATCACAGTCACTTTGAGTAGCAAAGGTTTCGGATCTGTGGGTGACCTCATTGGACTTGTACTTCTGCTTTGACCTGGGGTGGAACTGGCGCTTCGTGTGGACAGATGCGAGCTCAGTCGCTGCGGGAGTGGTAATCGGACCATGACGGGATGCGCCCACAGGCTTGGAGTGGTGGGGGAAGAAGGTTTAAAGGGCGAGAAGAAAAAAAACGAAGTAGAAGAAATCCTTTCGAAGTTAAGGGGTGGCACTAAGGCCCCTGATCGGAACAGGTCAACCAGTCGCGGTGAAGTGGCTTATTTAAAGCACTCCCCAGAGTCGATCGGTGATCTGCTTCGGGTCGATCCCAGCACCAAAGCCAAGACACGGTACCACGCCACAGGGATTCTAATAGATCAGAAAGGACAATTGAATAGAATTAGAAAAGAAAAGGGGAAAAAAAGGGGGACAAAAAGGGAAAAAAATCAAAAATCATGAGGACCGGGAGCGTTGAGAGAGACGGTGTCTCTTTTCACGACGTCAGTTAGCCTCGTCTCCACTTTTCCCCACCGTAACAACAAAAACCGGTGCCTACGGTGTAATGGGGTCGAGAAACAATTTACCCCAATCATCCTAGCGCTGATGACCCGATCTGGTGAGATTACTACATAAGGTGATGATCAATACAGGGCTGAATGATCCAATTTTTCCTATGCAAGGTGGTGTTCCACTATGGCATACGATAATACCCCGCACTAGAAATATGTGATAGAATGTTATAGATCTACGGGAAAGGCCGGGACTCGCATGTATAGGTACTGAGAATAGCCTATTGATCCATGGATTGAACTGAGTGATTCAGAAAGATTACGAACTCCGATCCTTGGAGAATCAATGTCACCTTTGAACCAGGATTAAACAGTTATAGGAAGGGAAAAAACATGGTTGGGTTAAACAGTATCACGTCCGAGGCTACCCCTATAAATGCCGCAGCCTTGAGAGTTGAAAATCCAACTATTTGGTAACATGAAGACCACAGTGATGGGTCTCTGGTTTAGTGCTGGAATATCCCTCAATATCAAGTTACGCGTAACAGCTCGGAAGTTCCGAGTATTCAACTTGAAGTTGTGCAGCATCGATGTACTATGGATGATAATAGGGGTGCTATGTAGTATGGAGGTTCCGAGTATATACTACAGGTAGTTCCAAGGTTGTAGTAGTACTAGGGCATCACTAGTAGTACCACTGGCAGTTAGAGAAACAACATCCATTTGAATAACATAAATTATCAACTTTCAAGTTATTAGACAAAAGGAGCTAAAATTCTTATCCTACTACCTAGGTATTACCTTTACTACTAAGAACCGAGGCTTTTATAGTATTCCGCATTTCCGACGGAGGCCGTAGATACTCCGAGTATATATCAACTGGTGAGTTAGGTAGGGATCTTGAAGTAAGACATTCAATGTTCATATAGATACTATACCTAGATATTAATTACAGCCTAAAGTGTTGACGTAGTTTTACTAATAATTATTAATAGATGTCTAGACTCTATTCATCCGAGCCCCGAGGTCATGTTATCACAGATGTTATGAGATCGATTGGCACAACCATGGGTAGATATGGTGGAGCCAGATGCACATGTACCGGGTACATATTCCGCACTTAAGGGATCATTCACTTTGTAGCACTTGCATAATAATATCATATGTTCCACATTGGTTTCATGTTCTATTCTAAAATCTATGTCTAATATCATCAATTATTTTCTAATTCAAGCTTGACTAAGTAGATATACAGTATACTAAATAGTCCAAGTTGACAGTAAATCTGCTGATCTAATCCGTCATACCCGCAACTCCGCGAATTCCCCCCAACCACAATGGCACCGCCCCATAACCTCCAATAACCTCCTAGACAGCGCAATCGGACCTCCGCAGAAAAAGATCATCTCGAACCACTCGAATCCACATCGTCACCGCTGATTCCCACCGCTGACTAACTCCATCCGGCCCCCGATACCCGATTGTCTCCAATCTCCCCGTATACTCCGAAGTCGCTGGTGCTTCCATATGGCCAGGTAACGCTCCAATGAGCCTGACAAACCCTCCTTCCTCCGGTTCGTTCTCTGCCCGAGCAAGGACGGTTGGTCAGAACTTGAAACGGAGCTTGCAGGCCACTGTCGACGGTAATTATATATTCAAGTTCTTGGATTCTTGCCTTGCCGCATGACCCGCATGACCTACGCTTCCGCATCTGTGTCTCTCTTTTCTTTTCCAAGGGTTCCTGTTCAAGTGCTCTGATCTGATCTGGCTCGGCATCTCCTGTCATTTGCATCATGTTTGGAAAAGGCTTTCCATTCTTAAATTCCGTTGGAAGCTTTTATCCCCGGGGTAATTTCTTTCCTATCAATCCCTGCCCGTTTAGAGGCGGTTGATCCATCTCTGTTGGGCTTTTTTTGTGTTTCGTTTGTTTCATTTCACGGTGGTTGTGTTCAGGGCTCTCTCTGTGAGAAAGAGAAGGAATGGCATATATCTCTGGTTGGCGATCTTCATTATACCTGGCTGGGGTTTCCTAAAGACGCACTGCATCCGTTGATTTGTCCCCGATACCTTCTTTCCCCGCAATACCGTGGCGATCCGTGCAATAGGCTAACTGGGCCTGATCCCTGATTTTAGAAGCTCTCGATTCGGCACGGAGACCCGGCGGGTATACGAGTAAAGTTCGTGTGCGAGATCGATATCATATTGTCGGATTCATCAGCAGTGGAACATATGGACGGGTGTATAAGGCGATTGGCAAAAATGGCCAAAAGGGGGAATTCGCTATCAAGAAGTATGTGAAGCAAAAAACGTGGGAAAACACCAAGATATGGCCATGTCTGACAAAGTGTGGTAACTAGGTTCAAGCCGGACAAGGAAGGAGAATCGATTCAATATACAGGTCTCTCACAATCCGCCATTCGAGAAATGTCCCTCTGCACCGAACTATCCCACGCCAATGTTGTCCAATTAGAGGAAATCATCCTAGAAGATAAATGTATCTTCATGGTCTTTGAATATACAGAGCACGACCTACTACAAATCATCCACCACCACACCCAACCGCAACGACATGCCATCTCATCCCCCATGGTCCGATCTATCCTTTTCCAACTCCTCAACGGCCTCCTATATCTACACACAAACTGGGTCCTACACCGTGACCTCAAACCGGCCAACATTCTTGTTACATCCAGCGGCGCAATCCGAATCGGCGATCTGGGTCTCGCACGACTATTCTACAAACCACTCAACTCCCTATTCTCCGGCGACAAAGTCGTTGTCACAATATGGTACCGAGCTCCCGAACTTCTCCTCGGAAGCAGACACTACACACCCGCCGTCGACATGTGGGCAGTAGGATGTATCTTCGCGGAACTACTCTCCCTCCGCCCAATATTCAAAGGTGAAGAAGCGAAAATGGACAGCAAGAAGACTGTTCCATTCCAACGAAACCAAATGATGAAAATAGTTGAAATCCTTGGTCTTCCCCGTAAAGAAACATGGCCCGGCCTCGTATCCATGCCTGAATACACTCAGCTCCAGTCTCTCGTGCTGCACCGACAACCAGCGCATTACCACCGTGGACCAAATCTCGAGGCATGGTACCAGGGTTGTCTGAAGAATGGTGGATATTCCGCTTCGTCGAGTATCGGTACACCCGGTGCAGATGGATTCGATCTGTTATCTCGGATGCTGGAGTATGATCCTACGAAACGGATCACAGCTCAAGAGGCATTGGAGCATCCCTATTTCTCAAATGGAGGACCTATCAGCGGGAACTGTTTCGAAGGGATTGAGAGTAAATATCCTCATCGTCGAGTTACGCAGGATGATAATGATATTCGGACGGGAAGTCTACCTGGTACGAAACGGAGTGGATTACCTGATGATTCGTTGATGCGAGCTTCGAAGCGTTTGAAAGAATGATCGACATCTTTTTGTGATGGGTTGTTATCCTATTCTTTTAAGTTGTCTATATACACCTGATTTTGCATGCACACTAGACTTTTCTCGGTGAGCGGGTATCATTTCTTTTCTTTTTTGGAATTTTGGATCTTGGGTCATGGCATCGGCGTTGGAAAGTCATTTTGGGCTTTTACAGATACCTATTGGAGATGAATTGAAATGTACAAATTTGATGAAATTGCATTAGTAGTGAAGTTACTATGCGCCTTGAAACCCTACCTATCAACCATCCCAGTATCCTATGTTCCTGAACCAGTCCCTCATAAAAATAGAAATATTTGAATTAGAAATTAAAGAGAGGGAAAACGCAAAAAGATCGCCCAATCCCCAGAGATTTCCTCGAACCACAGTTCTGAATGGCATGCTCAGTAGCCTAGCATTATGATTAGCAACCCGTCACTCATCACAGATAATGTTAGAACTAACCATTCTGCTCGCGTCGATTATCCTCCTCAGAATCACCATTACCCTGGGCCTCAGCCCGGCTAGCTGCTTCCTTGATTCCATTTTCATCACCACGCAATCTCTCAAAGTACCCCTTCACGTCATCAGCACTAACAGCAGTCCCAGACTCGGCAAAAGGGCGCAGGAAATCCTTCACCTTGTCGCGAAGGTGGTTGTAGATCATGGCACCTTCAATAGCCTTGACTCGATCAACATTGCTGAGGGCCGCCTCGCCTAGCTCAAGGATACTGCCTGTACCAGCGCTACCTGGACGGCCGTCTCCATCATCGGAGAGAGGTGGCTCGTACGTTTGTTCTTCTTCGCGGAGTTGTGGGTGGGGCACTAGGTTGGGGTAGCATTCTGCGCAGCGGCAGAAGTTGTCGAGGAAGTTCTCTTGGAGGAAAAGGGAGAATGATTCTGATGGAGAGGATGTTGGAAGGAAAGTGTGCTTTGGTTGGAGGGTGGATTCGGACTCAGGTTCAGTCTTGGGTTTGGTCTCTTCAGGCTTTTGCTTTGTGGTAGGTTGCTCTTCAGGAATAGATGCGAGATTCGAGGATGCGGAATCTTCCTTGGGTGATTCTTCTTTGGTGCGCTTGGCAGTTCGTTCCTCGACAGATGACTCGCCATCATCCTCTGCCTTGCGCTTCTTTGAGTTTTCTGGTTCCTCTGGCTTGACAGCTGAAAGCTTCAAACCACCCTGCTGGTAGACAGGTGGTAGAAATCCGTTGCTTCCGGCATAGCGCTTCAGCCATGGGTTCGAGTTAATGCACTTGAAACATAAGAGATGCTCGAAATCATCCTCAGCGGGGAAACCAGGAGGAAGAGGAGTTTCGTCATCCTCATTATCGTCACCGGTAGCATCACCACCGCCAAAGATGGCTGTTTTCGTCTCAGCGTCTAGGTTCTTGTGCCAGTCTCTTGGAAGGCCAATAAGACACTCTGGGTGCCACCAGTCCTCACCACAACCGCCAGATTCGACAGATCCAAGGCCCATGCATTGAAACATGATACCCTTCTCCTGGGTAGGATCGTATTTTTCGGCGCAACCGCAGAATCGATTCTGGAAGTTTTGGTTGTATTTATTGTCCTTGGCGGCTTCCTGAGAGTGAACACCCTTGTGACCAGTCTTGGGATCTTCACGCAGCGTGCAGGGTGATGTAGTGGGCATGCGAGTAGTTCCACAGTCACAAACAAAGTTGCGCTTGTTAAATAGCTCCACGAGAGTATGTTCACCATGACAGGCGATGGAGCAAGAATAACAGACTGCAGCAGTCTTATGCTCCTCATTATCATTCTCGGGAGGAGGATTGCAGGTTAAGCAGGCAAAAAGAGTCTGGCGCAATGGGCCAAGAGCATAAGTGCAGGAATCGAAAGACTGGATTGTATTAGTATAACTGCGACAGAGAACGCGGGAAACTTGCTCAAGACTCACATAAGGAAGGGCCTCGCGTGCATCCGCCTCAAGTCGAATCTGGTCCTCAATGAATCTGTCCGTAAGTTAGTATCTTGAGATGATGGGAGCGCGGTCTATGTGACGTACTCTTTGGCAGTCTGGGAGTTCTGTGATCCAAAGCTGTCACGGCGGCCACTCTCGACCTTGGACTGGATAATGACGGATTGATCCATGATTATGCGGGAATGGTTGAATACTATCGGAGTGAAAGGATTTCGTAATGATTGAGTCAATTCAGGTCGCCTCACAATCTTGCGATGCGTCCGGGAGAGAGTGATGAGAGGTGGATGGGGCGATTGTCCAAACTGCCGTCAAAATATGACACCTCGGATGAACAATGGCTCGTCAAAAGTGGATTTTTCAAGTGTATCGTATTTCGTCCGCGTAGTGTTGATATTCTTTAATTCGGGATTGTCAATTATCTGACAGGAATGGAGGATCCTCGTTTCGCAGTCGATTGTGTCCTACTGGTTTCTGCCAGAGACTTCGGCGACTTTAGGCGAGAGTAATTCTTGAGACGCGATAGTGAAGTGGAACCGTGATTTGCGATCAGAGCTTCTTTGCGCCGTCGGTTCACGACGAAAGGTCTCGGGTTGTAAGGTCACGTCTGAAGCTGTCGCGAAAACTGTTTGTTGAGTGTGGGTTGGTGTAGAAGAGACTGAAGAAAGGCGCACTATTCTCAGCAAAGTCTGATACTTTCTGAGATCAATCGATAATACCGGAGGTGTGAAACTGCGATGGCAAGACCAAGATGCCCTTGATCAAGACGATGATGCGGCGAATGGCACGCGCCTCTTGTTTGTACTGTTTGCACTTGGGTACCACCACGACCATTCACTCTGCTACAAGACAACTTAATTCACTGAAGGACCTCGACTAATTTGTTTGCTTGAAAGGATCAGACAGTTAAAACACGATTATTTAAACGATTATTTAAATTTAGCTCATTCATTTTGACCTTAGACCCGAGTCATCATTACTCAGTTTTGCACCATACAACTCGAGGTGTGATACACGTGACCTCCCAAACAGGCAAAATTGAAAACGCGTCGCGCAAAATCACGCGTCGAGATCAATTTACTCGTCAACTCCTGTTTCTCCGATCTGCTCCCCGCCCTTTCCTCCCTTTCTATCAACTTATCACCCACGCTGTCAAGGTCTTGCAGCAATATCCCCCCCCCACCCTTTTTTACCATTTCCACCTTTTTCTTAATTTAATCTGCCATATTCTTTCTTTCTCTCTTTTTTTTTTTTTAAAAAAAAAGACCTGCTCATTGAGCTACACACACAATCAAGATGAAGTGAGTCCGCGCACGAATTTTTCGCTCCTAGCAATTCAATTCAACTAATGCATTATTAGTCCTCTTCGACCCAGTGAACAAGCCGCAAACCGCGGTCCGCGGTCAAACACTCGCAAGCGCTCAAGAGAGCCAGATGACATGTCATCCCCTGCACCATTGCCCCCCCTCCAGCCGTATGTAAAAACTTCTGAGGGATGGAAAAAATCGTGACGCTGATTGTTGAAACTGACAATGTAAATAGCTACTGCCCTCGGATCATCTCCTCCCCCAATGCCATTCGACGAGGATGATGAGGATGACGAGGAAGCTGAACTTGTACCTGATATTGACGATGTTGATGAATTGGCTGAAGATGAGGATGGAATTGATCTGTTTGGCGACAACTTCGAGCGCGATTACCACGATGGGCAAGATCAATACGAGAACGAGGCATACATTGACGACGATGGCGACCACGATGAGATCGATGCTGCAGCTCGCCGACAATTGGATGCCCGCTTGAATCAAAGAGATCGTGAACTGGCCCGCCGCCGCCGTATGCCGGCCGCTTTCTTACAGGATGATGACGATCTTGAGATGGATCTGGCGCGCCAGCCCCGACGTCGACGCCACCACTATGACGAAGACCGTGAAGATATCGACATGGCTGACGAGGGTATGGAAGAACTTTCACTGGAGGAACTGGCTGATGTCAAGGCCGCCAATATTACTGAATGGGTTACCCAGCCCCAGGTTCTTCGGTCCATTTACCGCGAGTTCAAGGCCTTTTTGACAGAATTTATCGATCCCAGTGGTCAGTCGGTGTATGGTAACCGAATCAAGACTCTTGGTGAGGTCAACTCAGCTTCGTTGGAGGTTTCCTACGCCCATCTCAGTGAGACCAAAGCCGCGCTGTCATATTTCCTTGCCAATGAGCCCACTGAGATCCTGAAGGTCTTTGACCAGGTGGCTCTTGATGTGACCCTCTTCCACTACCCACAATACCACGATATTCACAATGAGATTCATGTGCGCATCACCGATGTGCCCATCATCTACACACTTCGTCAGCTCCGTCAGTCTCATCTGAACTGCCTGGTCCGCGTCAGTGGTGTGGTCACCCGTCGTACTGGTGTTTTCCCCCAGTTGAAGTATGTCATGTTCCTTTGCCAGAAGTGTGGTATTACCCTGGGTCCTTTCCAGCAGGAGGCCAGCTCCGAAGTCAAGATTTCTTTCTGTCAGAACTGCCAGTCTCGTGGTCCATTTACCGTTAACTCCGAGAAGACCGTCTACCGCAACTACCAAAAATTGACTTTACAAGAGTCTCCTGGTACCGTGCCTGCGGGTCGTCTGCCCCGTCAGCGCGAGGTCGTCTTGTTGGCCGATCTGATCGATACAGCCAAGCCTGGTGATGAGATTGAAATCACTGGTATCTACCGAAACAGCTACGATGCTCAGTTGAACAACAAGAACGGTTTCCCCGTTTTCGCTACCATTATCGAAGCCAATCATGTAGTGAAGGCTCACGACCAGCTGGCTGGTTTCCACCTGACCGAGGAGGATGAGCGTGAGATCCGCGCTCTCTCTCGCGAACCTGACATCGTTGACCGTATTGTTCGCTCTATCGCTCCCAGTATCTATGGACACCAAGATGTCAAGACTGCTGTCGCCCTTTCACTCTTTGGTGGTGTCAGCAAGCAGGCTCAAGGAAAGATGTCGATCCGTGGTGATATCAACGTCCTACTGCTTGGTGACCCTGGTACTGCCAAGTCTCAGATTCTGAAGTACGTGGAGAAGACTGCACACCGAGCCGTGTTCGCTACTGGTCAAGGTGCTAGTGCAGTTGGTTTGACTGCCAGCGTTCGCCGTGACCCGCTCACTAGCGAGTGGACTTTGGAAGGGGGTGCTCTGGTGTTGGCTGATCGTGGTACTTGTTTGATTGATGAGTTCGACAAAATGAACGACCAAGACCGAACATCCATCCACGAAGCCATGGAACAGCAAACCATTTCCATTTCCAAGGCCGGTATCGTGACTACATTGCAAGCCCGTTGTGCCGTTGTCGCTGCTGCCAACCCTACAGGTGGCCGGTACAATGCCACCAAGCCTTTCTCACAGAATGTTGAATTAACCGAGCCCATTTTGTCTCGTTTCGATATTCTTTGTGTTGTTCGTGACTTGGTTGAGCCTGCTGAAGACGAGCGCTTGGCCAACTTTGTGATTGAGTCTCACCACCGTGCTAACCCCGCCCGGCCTTTGCGTAACGAAGACAATGACTTGGTCGACACTGATGGCCACCTTATTGACGAGGAGGGTTACCGCATTGACCACGAGGGTCAACGACTGCCTCCCACACAAGAGGAGCTTGACCAGCGTGCTGCTGAGCTCAAGAAGTCCGAGGATGAGAAGGAGGGCGAGATCCCACAAGAGCTTATGCGAAAGTACATCCTCTACGCTCGTGAGCGATGCCACCCGAAGCTGTACCAGATTGACCAGGACAAGGTTGCCCGTCTGTTCGCAGACATGCGTCGTGAGTCCTTGGCCACTGGTGCTTATCCTATTACTGTAAGAACTCTCTGCCCAGCATTCTATTTTGTTCCACCTTACTCACTTTCTCCACTAGGTCCGTCATCTTGAAGCGATCATGCGTATTGCCGAGTCATTCTGTAAGATGCGTCTATCAGAGTACTGTTCCTCCCAGGACATCGACCGTGCTATTGCAGTCACCGTTGAGTCGTTTATTGGCAGTCAGAAGGTCAGCTGCAAGAAAGCACTGTCGCGTGCATTTGCCAAGTATGTCATCCTGACTCCTTTCCATTCATCTCAAATACTAACCAGACACCACAGGTACACACTTGCTCGCCCCAAGCCCCAATCCAAGCGCCGTGCCGGTATTGCCGTGCCAAACCCACATCTGCCCCGTGCTGCGTCCGCGGCGCGGTAAACGGTGGCTTATAGAGAGGGTGTCTGCGAATTCTTTTTTTTCCCAAGTTAAATACCATATTGTTTGCATCCGGTGTGCTGGCGTTTACATTTAGAATATGAGGACCTATGAAATTAACGCTCAAAATTATTGAATCATGTTTTCTTGTAGTTTTGGTGTCTATCGTATACTGTCGAGGACTTCTACTCATACTAGGATATTCAGTAGTAGTAGGTAAAAAGCAGACTCAATTGAACAATAAATCTTGCAATCTAATACTACCTCAAGACAAAAACCAGATAAAAAGTACAAAAAACCAGATGCACACATCCATCTCAACTCCCTCCCTACTAGCATTCCCACCAAGCACATCGCTGTCCACTCCGATTTCAGCCTACATCACTCCGAGTTCCCATAGTCACTACCGATCAAGCTTGGTGGGAATACAGTATTCATTCTCAAAGAGTACCCCACTGCTATGCAACTCCTGAATCAAATGATTTCTCGCCGATGACATCGCGGTATAAATAACCATGGGCTCCGGATCATACTCAACACCTGAATTCGTTCTCTTATTCCTTCTCAGACTCGAAGCCGGTTGATCGGAAAATTCGTTGCTCTTAGCCAGACGATCGAGAACAGCATTCCATGAGAAATAATACGCAGGTGTCGTGCACCCAATCTCAAACTTGGAGCATGTTGCCCATGTCTGTGGATCGGGTGTGACTGAGACTATATGTCTTATAGTCGAAAGACCGGTGCTGCGATTCTTTTCGCCTTTGATTATCCTGTGCAGGTTGCCTTCTCCGGTTGTTGAGTCGGTTAATACGAATATAGGTCCGCAGAGGTCGTAATTGGAAAGATGGGTGAGTTCGAAGACCTTTAGGATGGGGTTGGATGTTCCTCGTGAAGGGGACTCTGAAATGGAGATTGTTGGGGTTCGTTGGGGCATGTCGATGGATTGGGAATCTTGGTTCGATGAGATTTGATATACTGCCAGGAGTAATAGTGTCCGGGTGTAGTAGAATGTGATCAATGGAAGTTGATAATAATGGACTGATGAAGTCCTCCAAGCTTCACGGCTGGAATGAGCTAAGTGATTGAGATGGAGAGTAGGATATGATCAGAGGATGTATGATGAGATGCTTAATGAGATGTAATGGTTAGAAGTCTGATCTAGCAGGGTGAGGCCTACTGCTTAAGTACCCTGAGGTTGGGCTTCAACTTCTTCAAGCCGCTGCACATGTGATATCAAACACCACTAAACACATCCTGGTGAAGGGTCTCTCCTACGGAGCAAGTGCATAATTCAATAATTAGAAACAAGGCGGCGGTACAAATCTCAGGTACAATACATAGACCTGCCTGACCTTGTGTTTTTGTACACTACTTCCAGACCCCAGGCACCGACAGGGTATGTAGCAGCCAAGAGATCGAAGTAAAGCCCCAGGCGCAGCGATAGACCCTGGGAAAACCGCCTTCAAGACTAAAATAGAGGATAAATGACAGCACTACATGTGCTGTGATGAGTCCTTATCCCGCTGAAGGTACAGATACAACCGCCTAAGTCTATGGAGGTACTATATAGGCAGCACCGGATATAATAAGTTTGAAAACGGAGCCTGCCTCGCAAGGCATTGGTCCTTGATGGAGAATTGCTGTGTAGACTAAGTGTCAGACTGATAGAGTAGAGAAACCTCCTTGAATTCATCGGGGAGTTTGATATTATGTCTCATTAAGTAAGACTAAAAGGATAGTGTACGGCGCTTAAGGCTTGATATTCCAAGGCTGTGTTGTGTTGGTTGGTTCCCTTGACACAGCCTCATTGCACAGACATCATTTGATCATAGTACACTGGATTAACTTATGTGAAAATCCACTAGTTCAAATGTTGGTTGTTACAAACGTATTAAATCTACTGGAATAGGATATACTAGGGGTTTATATAGGTAGGAGGCTATAGGTGGCCTTGGTGGACTCAGTGAGGCTCAGCGCGAAGTGATGCGCAACGTCGTCTAATTCTATCCAATACAATTTGAACTCTACATCAGATGTACTGTGACATATTGTTAATTTGAAACTTAAAAGAATGGATTTTCGTCGCAAAAAGGCTATCCAATACAATACAAGAATAGCGAGACTCAATCATGATCACGCTGCAAATCGGGCTTGTTTCATACTGCTAAGGAGAAAATGAAACACCCGGAAAGAGAAGAACGAGAGATAAAAAGAAGGCCAAAACATGAATATGAAAAAGCAATATCAATCAACCTACTCCCGTGAGATCAACGCCATGTCGAGCACCAAATGCTGGCGGCGCTCAATGTTGGGTATTACACAAAGAAAATCATCAGTCCCCATGAGTCATGGTCAAAAGGGATAAGCGGAATAAATGGGAGGATCGCTAGTGGACTTGAGTATGTCGCAGGATCAATGACGCGATCGTCTCCGTGTTTCAGAAAGTTCCCCAGTTCCCATTGTCTAGTTTCAAAAATCATCCACAGCCTTAATCGCTAGTACGACGCTCCGGGCGCGGCTTGCGCAAGCTCTTCATTCGGTTCAAAAAGCCACCACCACCGGCATTGAGTTTCTGCTGATCTTCGTAGGCCCGTTCGTTGGTGCTCTTGCGCTCCAAGCCAGTGGGCTGCTTGGGGCTACTAGATGATCGGTATCGCCCGCCGCTTTCCAGACGCGCTTCCGCAATGCGTGATCCCTTCTTGTCCCACTCCTCATCATAGTCCTGGAAGAATGGGTTCCGCTCATTACCACGAGACGTCGCTGAGTGGCTTGAGCCTTGCTGTGGAGGTGACAGAGGTGGCTCTCCAGGGGATCCAACTCGACCGGGAGCAATTCGACCAGTGCCGCTTCGCCCGCGAAGTCGCTGTGCCAAACTCTTCTTGCGCTGAAGACCACCGTTTGCGTTCAGTTGGTTTTCAGCCTCGACCTCATGTTTTGCAATGGCAGACCGACTAGCAGGGGCACCATCCAGGAAGGTACTTGTACCAAGACCCATACTCTCTGAACCATGAACAGGATCCAAGTTGGCTTTGGCATCGAAGCTGACAGTTTCCTGGGTGCGTTGAAGACCGGTGTTGAAATCGTTGTAACCTTCGACTGATCTGCCGTGGAATTGGTTCAGATCAATGTTGGAATTGTTGGGGCCTGATCCACCCAGAGCCATGTTGCTTGAGTTCTTGGGGAAAGCCTGCATGGGCGCAGTTCGCACGCCCTTACGATTGCGGTGGGGGTTGCATGCATCGAACGGACCATCGTGATGGAACACTGGAGTATTGAGTTAGTATACGGTCTTGTAAAGAGTGTTGAAATTGGGGACGGGAGTTTCGTGTAAAGAGGGAGCACATACTGCCAGTACCGTAGATGCTTGTAACGTCCAACTTATCGATAATATCCAAACGACGGTCCTTACGAGAAGAACGGGGCTTGCCATCTCGACGCTCACGTTCACGGCGTCGCTCTCGTCGGCGCTTCTCATCCTCATCGTCAAACAGTTTCGATGCCCGGTCCATCACGGAGGACTCTGAGTTTCGACGGGGTCGGCGAGAAGAGGATTTGCCCGAGGGACCCATGGTGGATGCCTTGGATAGACTGGGTGGGTCTGCGAAGATGTTGAGAGGATCCTTCGCCTTGGACTCATGTCGTCCAGATGATTCACGTCGTCCAGATGTGCGGTCCTGAGGACGAGGGCGACTGGCCGAGTTACGGGAGTCAGGGAATGGTGCACGGCTGTTTGATTGAGGTACGGGGGCAGGTGCGGGAACTGCTGCCACTGTGGCGGTGGGTTTGATAGAAAGGTTCTCCTGCCATTCTAGTTAGCCCCTGCAATTTGAAAAATCGGTCGGCTGTAGCCCATACAAAAAGATCCCGTGTATGACTGGTCGCGTCAGAGCGTTCGGTTGGTGAAAACATGGTGCCACCCGTAGACATCCCAGGGGCAGATTGCGGCGATAGAGCGTCTGTGTCGTCTAGGAACGGATTGGTCGATCTAGGGCGTTCTGGACGAGCACTTGCACCTGATCCAGTTGTAGCAGGGGATAGAGCACGGTTTCTGAAAGGATTATTGGAGCCAAAACTGGCAGCTGTAGGAGAGTTTTGGTTTGCTGTTTCACGACACGTAGGTCATCAGTTTCCAGGTCAAGTGAAAGGGGGGATGGAATCATAAAGCAGCCAAGCAGGGAAATGTAGTTGATATAAGTGTTTTAACAGTCGCCCAACAGGGATAAGGGACATGAAATCAAGATTATCAGGGGGGTTTCAGAGTCCACTCAGACTGCCAATGTAATTACGCACCTGTCGCCAGCGACACGCCGGGCGGATACCCGAGCGCTGGAGGGGCATTCATGGTTAGATGAAACAAGAAGTGGAGGAGATAGTGTTTGTCAATAGGAGGAACAAGTGTCGCACGAGTGCAGGAGTACGTGGACTTTGTGATAGAAGATGAAACGTGAAAGAGGAAGAAGCTGTGTCGGGGGTAAAAAAAGGGACACGGGATCACGGCGTACGTAAAGTTGTAAAGATCGCCATCTAAGATAACCGAGGAAATTGGACATCGATTGTGTGGCAATTTAAGAAACGTTTAGAATATGGGACTTGAATTTCTATTTTATTTCTATTTCTCACTTTTTTATTATAATTTCTCACTCTAAATAGATACTAATATTTGATTAAGAATTGTAAATTTGAATTGTCCCTGCAGAAGTTTGGTGTAATAAGGGGCACATGATCGTCACCGCTTTCCCCCACTTTCTTTTCTTCTTACTTCATCTTTCATCTCTCTGATTAAATCTCCTTAGAAAGTCACCAAGTCTTTGTCAATTCTTTCAATTCTTCATATTCAAAGACATATATCCCCTTCAAATTCTTTCATTTCTTTTAATCTAGCCCCCAGTCGGAATGACATTCGCATTCTTATCCCCCGGTTGATGTCATGGGATGCGGGAATGTGGGTATTAGTGGCTGGGTTAGTTAGGATCCATATGCATGATGGTCCTTTTGACTCGTCCTTCTCTTTTCCTACTCGTTATCAGTGACCTAACCATCCAATCTTTGTCTTGGATATCTCGAAAAAAAACAAAGTATTCGTCTGTTTTGATGTCGGCTTGCCCCTGATGATGCGATCCGCACGGTCCCCCGAGATTCCCGGACGATGACAGCAATCTGATCCACTTTCAGGCCGAACCCCAGCTCCCGTTGGCTCCCGTTGTGGTGACCCCTGGAGGGAGGATGACGACTCCGTCAAATTGGATTTCTCATCTGTCGTATGCCTTCAAATAATGGGTGAGAACGCTGAAATGCTTTTTGAGGTGTCCAGATGTCGAACTATTCAAACCATGACTTTGTTTTACTCTTGTCTTGGTTGTCTTATGCGAGAGTGGCGTTTTGGTGCCATGGTACCAGAATGTCTTATTACTCTTATAATTTCCTGGGGCCAGATCGCCGATCTGATGGGAGTACGGAGTACATACAGCATAAGTTGACAACGAACAACGGCAATTTGCATCCTTACTGGTCAAATTCGCAAGCTGCATCTTCTGCTCGACTATCTCTTACACCGAATCTTCTCCAATCGCATGGCAAACATGTAACTGCACTGATCTGCTTCAATCCCATTCCCCACCCATGGCCATTCAGGTAAACCATTTTGATTCTGTGCAACATGGCATATTTTTAACCCGGCGGGCCTTTTTCATCATCAACACATGGATGCCACTAATAATTCATCAGGTTTCACAATGGCTTATCCACAGAGTAATCATGCTCTGTCAGACGTCTAAACTTTTATCCGAGCCCTTGAGGGGTGTTGATGGTGTCATATTGGTACGGAGAGACTTCGCTCCCGTTTAAAGCAGCATGGCGTTGATGTACGCAATCATCTGCATGATCAGTCTGGCCCAGCTAATGGTTGAGAAGCATATGGAGAAGGTGTTCTTGTGCCATTATCCTAGATAGCTCCAAAGCATAACGAATGACCTAGATACTCATCCTTGTCATGTTAGGTCAGCTAGCGCGTCCATGTGCTAACCAATGAAACTACTGTGCCTTGATTAGCTACCTGGATCTTGAACTGTTCCTGTCAGGGCTCTCAATATGGTTCCTTTGGGTCCTATTAAAGTCTATGCAGCAACAGAAAAGACTCAAAGTGGGACCTTGTCCACTGGCCATTCGCCCCAAAGCAACTGAATCAATTTAAACTACTATTGTAGCGTCTTTGAGAATTATCCTACTCCCCGTCCACGGCTACGTGCCAGGACTTCCACCACTGGCATTCTTTCAAGCTTCTATGCACATACTCTCCATACATACTACCCTCAGTCACAATTCAGACTTGAATTCAAAAGCTTACGGCGCTATTAGCGTGTCGAATCGGTAAAAAAAGAGAATAAAATAAGTAGTTCTATCACAGACAGTAGTACGGAGTAGTACTGAGAGTATTATATTTCAATCAACTCAAAACAGTATAATTAGAGGACAGAAGTCGGCAGTTCTTCGCCAGCCCAATAGGAGGATACGTTCTACCCTCATTAGCGATATAGCTGTAGTTGTACGTCGGGCTCAACATCTGAATCTGTCCGACCGTCGAACCATATCTGTCCGCAAGATCCTTATAAACACCCTGGCTGAAAGTGTACGGCTCGATATCACAAGTACTGGGATGACACATCGGGATCTTGATGAATTGACCAGCAGCAATAGTCTCATTGGCGGTATACTCAGCACCACCGCCACTAGGGCAAATACCATCGGTGCAATTTGTAGTCTTCGCTGTATCGCAATCATCACCGCCACAGCGGACTGCATTAAGAGTCATGTTTAGACGCCCGGCAATCTTCCACATCGTGTCTCCGTTCAAAGTGTAGTATAAGCGCGGACCTCCAACTAAGCATTCGTTCGTGCCGGGTCCCCAAATGATGCATGACGTCCAGTCTGGCTTACAGACTTCGCCGGGGATAATGATGGTTTGCCCAACGTTGGGCACCACGGATACATCCACCACTAGATAATGTCATTAGTGACTAGATCGAGATATGTTTGATAAGGTGAGCGGGCTTAGATTCGCGCGGCCAATGTCACAGACTCCTCGATTGAATTCCTTGGCAATTTGATGCACGGTTTGATTGGTGATATCATTGACATAGTTGAAACTTGTCGTGTTGAGAGTTGAGGGATCGCAAGTGAGGCTGCTGGCTGGTACTTGGGCCTGTGCTTTAGATGCCAACATGGCACCCAACAGAGTGGGAAGGAGAGAGCTAAAGAGCATAATTCCCGGCCAAGTGACTAGTATCACTTGTTTAGTGAAGGGTTTAAAAGACGAAGAAAGACGAGAATCGGACTGAAGAGTAGAGAATTTTGCGAGGAATGAAGTGCTTAAATACCCTTTGACCTCATACTAGTTATCGCTGATAATGGCGAAAGATCCTTTGGGAATGCTTCTACTCCGTACTGCTGCTTCGCTTCCAAGACGTGTCCTCAGACCCCTCTTTCCATAGTCCTTTGAAGCCGATCTCTAAGGTTTGTGTCTCACATCAATCAAGAAGCTAGAATTTGGACCGTTCCCCGATAGAGAACGCACATATTGGCGGCAGCAGAAAAGACCAGCAGGCCCAAGTGTGGGACTCCCAGGATTCCTCATAGTCTACCTAAATTACATACTATTTCTGCATTGCATACGCATCAATATCGGCCGCTGCGGAGTCTTACCCTGATGCTGGTCCTGTATCCATCAGCCGGGCCCTCGATGCAGAATTTCATCCGGTCCCACCGTGCTACTGCCGGGTCATTGATCTTTCACATACAAGAGAGTATGACACGCAAATTTTCGGTATGATGATGCCTTTTGGATCCAGTGACTCCATTTCAATGACGAAGTTGACGAATATAGAACCCACATCAAAGCAAGAATGATGCGGTTCTCAGTAAGAACTTGGTAGTCCTCAAAACATCTGCCAGTGCATGCATGACTTTTAAGTCGTCAATTAAGCCCCAAAATTTTAATATCGGAAAAAGAGTCCCACTGGCATACGTTCTGCATGTGGTCATTTGCCAGTAGTCTGCATATATTGGTTCCTGCATTGCGCGTAGTGTCTTTGGAGAATGTCCACCAGTCACATTTCAGTTCACTTGAACCAAGCGTAGTCCGAGTCTAAAAAGTGCTAGTGCTGGGTCTGAGAAATTGCTTGCTCCGAGATCAAGAATCCCCACACTTGGATAGAGTTTCTGAAAGGCATTGGAAATTGGACGTATGTGCAACTAGATGATTGCGCACTGCTATCTGATATCCTCAAGATGACGACAGCCCTGGAGCAATCTCTGTATCCACAGCGGTCCCGAGATCCCTGATCAGACCCAGAGTGGATAATAGAACCGACCCACTGTGAATGGAAATTTCGTCAAGCAGATCAACGGTCAGCATTAATGATCTTTTCTTCTTTGGTTGCCGTTGTGGGCTCTGCCGACGCAATTGTCTACGAATGTATGAGACAGTGACATGAATAATAGAATTGGATGAATATTCGTGATGAATTCGGAATTGGGAGAAAATAATTTAGCTTCCCCCTCCCCCTAAACCCTGGGACTAAAGCATTCAACGAACTGCTAATTATGCAAATGCAATATGCATAATATAGAAATGACGCATAAAAACTTCGATGTGGATCTTAATTCGAGCAAAGACTTCGGGAGTCCCTGTGGGGGATACCGGGACTGAACTATCAACCGGTATTGTATGTGGGGATTTGGGGTATCAGATCAAATTCCAGGGCTCGCAAACTTCCCCCTAATCGGGGAATTTAGACCCATGTTAGTCCGTGATGACAGTGGGGCCCGACTTGAAGGGATCGTCTCGTTAGTCTATTCCGCTCTGTACTGTATTTCGAGACCCGTGCTAGCCAAGGCTTGTGGACTTTGGCAGTCGAAATTGAGACATTCGTACTGCTAGATCTGCTTTGCTTGCGCGTCGTTATTTGGTGTATAACCGAGTGAACTTTATTTTTCCATGGTTTTTGATGTCGGTTCAAGGTAAATGGATTGGAGTACCGCAATACCCGCGGAAAATATGAGATGTAAACTTGGCATAATTGGTGGAGACTAGGGATATCTGAGATCACAGTCCGGATGAGAAGAGGGATGATTTCGGGGTCTGGGTAGAGTTAGGATTAATCTGTAGACCGGGGAAAACATCTAAACTCCTAGGCTAGGGAGTAAAAGAAATTATTACTAGAATCAAACTTGAATGATCATGGAAAAGGCATTGATTTGTTGAACATGAGTCTTCGTTATGACAAAAAGCTATTTATAAAATTTGCAATTTGATCAAGATCTCAAGACCCACGACCATAAATACAACTGTTCCTAGCTGACGACAAAAACCACCTGAATAGGCCGTCCTTCTAATTCTAACAAGTCGACGCCAGGATATGTGCAGGCACATACATGGGCATGGCATCCTCCCACAAACTGTTAGTGAGTGGAGTCTTGTTGTTACCATCGCCATCCATGACCATAATAATAGCATATGGTTGCATAGAATCGCCATACAATGGCGTTTCTTGCTGATACCCGAACATAGCAGTGCTGTAGAGAATGTGACCATCTCGAGTCCACACAGCATGGGCATCACTAGCCACAGATTGGGTGACCTGAACGAGGTCATTGCCATCCAGATCCATAGTAAAGATGTCATAGTTATCCCCAATATTGTCCCAGTTGGTACGGCGCGTGAAAAGCACCTTCTTCCCGTTTGGAGAAAAAGATGGTAAGTTGTCCCACTCGGTAGTCAACTGTGCCAAAGTATGGGTGTTGACATCGTAGAGAGCTAATCCAATGGAGCCGACCGTAGTACCGTTATCGGCGGTACCAGGCCAAGTGCGGAAGACGACCTTGGGGCCATCATGATTGAAGGACGGGAACCCGTAATTGGTGATGTTATTACCAGTAAGGAGGGTCAAGTCCGAGCCATCGGTGTTAATGCTGTAGATAAAGCCGGGATTGGTTGAGCGAGCGACAAAGTATGCACCAAAGCCGAAGGTAATATTGGTATCGTTGGGACCCCAGTCAGCCTGGTACGCGCGTGCATTGTAACCCTCTGCGATGGAGGGGTTGATCATGTCCTCCTGTGGCTCAAAGAGAGTGACCTGGTCAGTGCCGTTCATCGCGAGTCGCATGAGGTTGGTATCTGCGGAACCTTCCATCTGCTGGGACATGGCTATCATTGGGCATCCTGATCTCGCTCCCGCCGGGAAAACATCAGTGAGGCGATAGTCCCAGTCAGGGTCAAAGCTCCAGAGCTCCGAATACTGTGTCTTGGAAGTAGATGTGCTACCCCTCCTGTTGGGCCTTGCTTCTCGAAAATCACGTACTTCCCTTCCCGTCAGGAGACCACGCTGGTGAGCGAATTGCAGGTGTCATTGTATTCATCGGAATCGTCTGATATTGTGTATAGTTTTTGCCTGAGATGGAGGTGTAGTAGATACCGTTGCTGGCTGACTCTTTCATAACATAACCAATCACCAAATTGCGAGCATTAGTCTGGTTATAAAATTGAAGGGATCAGGCAGATGAATCACGAAACTCACATCATTAGTCACAAACGAAGGACTGATCTTCGTTCCATCTCCAATAGCATGGACGATACGGTCACCTCCCGTAGCAAAGTCAATGGAAACAATGCTAGTATTGAGATAAGCCCCTTCAAGTAGCTCAGGCTCAAGACGGCCATTGTAGGTGTCTTCCGTCAGCATCTCACAGAAAACCACGCGCTTCCCATCAGGTGAAAATTTAGGCGAGCCTTGAGTGTAGTTGGAGCGAGAGGAGACATGGCGGAAGTCACTGCCATTAGGACGAACAGTGTAGAGAGACAGCTCTTGTGTGTGTTCCCAGCCCGAGCCATCACTATGACCACGCCAAGGTGTGTTGCGATCCGATGTGAAGACAATCCATTCCCCATCCGGAGACCAGGTAGGCTTGAAGTAGCCATTTGGATCGGCATTGCTCGCAGCTTCCGATATGTCAAAAACGAGAGTCAGATTCCTTGCTGAGCCAGTCTTCAAGTTCATCAACATAATTTGGCTCGTCTGGTTATATCTAGTGATTGTGAACGCCAGGGTCTTGCCGTCTGGGGAGATCGAGCTAGAGTCATCCACGACAGGAGACAAGGCAATCGACTCCAATATCGCTCCCGCTGTGCTTGTACCATTGATTGCCACACGGTAGAAATCCGACTGGCCGTCTCCCCTGCGCTCTGAGGTGAAATAAACATAACTTGCATCTGGGGACCAACTTGCTCGGAAATCATAGACGGTGTTGGAACCGAGGAGGAGCTTCTCGTTAGATCCGTCTGCTTCGGCGATATAAAGTTCGGAGTAATTGGGACTGATTTGGTTATGCAGGAAAGTACCCAAATGGGCGTCCACGTTTCGTTTCTTGCCAGCGTGACCCTGCTGATTGGGATAAGACGCACCGGACACCAAAGTGGCGCTGGCTAGTGTAGCCCAAAGCCATGTCTTGGAGAGCCACATTATGACCCTGGTCAATAATGACGACTATGTGCTTAAAATCTTCGTAACGAATATAGAAGAATCACTTTGGGACCAAGCAAAGGGAACTGAATACCATCAATGTTCTTAGCAATTGGATATCAGAGATATTGTGATGGGCCAAGACGGGCACATCACTCTATTTAAATCCATATCGCCACCCCATAGTCCCATAATAAAATTACGTTCTCCCTTTGAATACTGAAGCCTAGTATGTGGAGATTATCGCTGACAATTGAAGAGTACGGGAGCCTTTACTGTGTATCTTTACGGATACTCCGCCGAAGCCCGACCTTCTAACCTTGGAACATGTTAGTACTTTGAGCATGATCATTGGATATGATATCAGCCAGCAGGCAGTGCCACTTAAGTTCACACCTATTACAAGCAGTATCACTCGCTTATCCAGTATCGGCGAGGACCTGCAACAAGCCAAGCCTTTAATCTTCCCTGCTTATTACCACTAAGATTTAGTGGGGCGTGCGGAAAGAGAATCTGCAAGAATCCCTCAAGTTCCACTTCTCGGACCTTGAAACCCAATACAGATACCCTTTGTCGATCCTTTGTTACAACTTGGGTGCTTATGTGACACATTTTGAATCGGAAATATTCTACTCGCCGGCTCTTGGGCTCATTTATTCTAAGTTCTCTCACTGGTGGAGTCATGTCAAAGTTCCGAGTCTGTGAGAAAAGCAACCGAGCCGTCACAGACTAGGATACTTGTACATAGTATGGAGTGCCAGGTGGCGGCGTAGAATATGTGATCTCAGTCACTGACATCGTAACATGTCAGGTAGATGGGAAGTACAGGGCCGGGTGATAACTAAGTATGCAGGTTTCGACTTCATTAAAGTTGAGAGATGCGAACATCATCCTCAAAGTAGTGTCCAAGCCCCGAACCGGTGAGATTCTCGAATGTCCAGTCATTAGCACCGGCAGCCAACAATAAATGATCTTTTACCGAATAACTATACTCTCTTGCCCTTGCAAGTGCTGCTTCCGCTTCTTTTGTCTGGTTGACACGGAGAGAGCCGTCTCTTGCCAAGAGTAACTTCATACCTGGCAGGTACCCATTCTCCGCAGCCACATCAAGGGGAGTTGGGATCTTATCCGAAGCAGAAACGGGATTGGCCTTTGCACCTGCATATAGCAGCGCGTTCATCAGATCGAGGCGTTCTCCTTCGGTAGCCATGTGAAGTGCAGTCAACCCTCTCACCGAAGGAAGGTGAACATTTGCGCCATTTTGAATCAAAAGACGCAAAGCCCGTAGGCCGTCAAGTGTTGAAGGTACGCGGATTTGCTCTTGCCTTATTATAGCTAGACGGCTCAACGAGTCATTTCTCATGAGAAAGTGAAGGGCTGTTCTTTCATCTTGAGAAGAGTGTTCCAGGATGGTGTTCACATCTGCGCCAGCAATCACAAGCCTGGCAATCATATCAAAATCATGGTTTCCTGCAGCTACATGAATTGCCCTTGGTCCGGAGTACCCATAAGGATTATACCCCATATCGCTAATCCTCGCTAAAATAGTTGAATCGGCATCATGAACATCCGCCCAGGTATCAACATCTGCCCCGGCAGCCAGAAGTGCATCAACGATCATATAATCTCGATTCAATATTGCTACATGAAGTGGAGGCAACTCCATGGTGTCAATATATTGGAATTTGCTTGTGTGTTGGAATTTATATCCGTGTTGGCGTGGGGAAAATCTGAGATCAACAACCGAACGTCGATTGACATCTGCACCGTTGGAAAGCAGATTCTGTACGGCTTGGACAAGACCATGATCTGTTGCAATATATAGGGGTGTGTAGTATTCGGAGGTTTTTTGCGAGTCATCCTGGGTTCCGTTTACATCAGTACCGGATGAAAGCAAAATATCCATCACGTCAAGCTGATTATTTTTGACTGCTACCAAGAGTGCATAATTGAGCAAACTTGTCTTGGATCTGCTGAGGTGAATGGCCTTCAGATTGGCTGTAATAAATCCAAGCGACAGATCGACAGAACGCTCACAGTCAGCGTCGACAGCATAGTACAGCACTTTTTCAAGAACTTGGGTGCTGTAATCAGGGTCCACAAACTCCCCAATTCCAGAAAGAATAGCATCTGTGAGGCGATAGAAGTCGGTTTTCTCAATTCTCTCAAAAAGTGTACAGATTGCCTTCAAAGAAAAGCAGTGTTGTTCTCTTAGATAATGTTGCAATAAGGGAACATGGCCATTTCTCGAAATCCAGCGAACCAATTTGAATTCACAGTTTTGGTTAGCGAGATCCTCTGTGGTTAAGCCCCATAGCCTAACTGAGGGAGTATCGTCACTTTCAATGCAATGATGGAACAGTCTCCAGACCTCACTTCCATAGACCTCAATTAGATCCAATTTCGTCAGATGGAGAGACCAGTAGTTCCTAGCATAGTTGAGAAATGTAAATCTTTGTAGTTGAAGGTCAGAGACATGTTGGGGAATGTCCGATCTTTTCAAGCCTTGAAAGAGCAACCTCCTCATCCCTCCCAAGGTCATATTTGTTGTCTTTTTTCTCCTTTCCATCAGCCTCTCGGCAACATGATGTATTGAACCTCTGGTGTCAAGGACAGATGATGTTCCAAATTGAATGGGGTCCACTGGAGCAGCAAACCCCCTTTGAAACTTCACTAGCTGATTTTTGAAATTCGTGAAGTCAAGGTATGTCATACACATATGACCAAAATGAACATCCACACGATGGAAGTTATACTGTACAGATCTGGTATGCGCCGTGGTAAACAAATGCGTTCTGAGGCTGTGGTGGACATAGTGAACAGTAAGCTCCTCTTCGTCGATGAAGGTTAACCCATAGCAAGCCCTGATTACCAGATCTATGCTGTGTGGTTGCCTCTTGGCGTCCAAAGTGTTCTGCTGAGGCAGGATACTTAATGCCTCCTTGTACTCCTGAGTTGTTAAAGGCCTTTTGGCCACTCCGCAGTATTGCATAACCTTCACCGCTTGATTTGAATGTTGACCTTCATGAATACGGTCGAGCTTTTTGTTGAATATCCTTGTAAGCCCTCGGGGAGATGCTTAAGAACTTTTAAAACATCCTCATCACAATTCTGCTCACATATCTCCCCAAGGCAAAGACTTGCCCACAGAAACCTAAAATGAATGAGCACTTGGAGGAGCTATGGTAATGTGCAATAAAAGTTCAAAACAAGGAATGTTGGAAGGCTATACTTACATTCCATCAGAGCCCGCTTGTAAAGCGTCAAGTATCTTCTTCTTTAGGGAATCATCCTCAAGGGTTAATTGTCCTTCTTCTATGTGCTTGTTCAGGGCAAGTTCGAGGAAGCGTTTTATGTCCGGATTGACCATGGCTTTCTCAATTAAGATTCTATGGGCAGGCTTTGCAATCCTAAAAAGCTCTTCTTCAAGTCCAGGTCGGCCTGCACAGAGGATCTTCAGGTTTAACTGCGATTGTTGGCATAGTTTGCCCAGTCCTCGAGCAATCTCCCGAATCTGGGAACTGTCACATTCATCTAAGCCATCAAGAATCACGAAGTATGTCTTGTCAGACTTGATTTGAGACACAAAGAGCTGTATGACCTCATCGGTGCTTAGGTCTTGGGTGCTTTCCGCCAGGGAGACCAGATCCGAGTAGAGTGATTCCTCAATCTTGGTGTGCAAAAGCTGACTCACCACACTGCCAAAGATGTTTTTCGCTGATAGAGACTCGTTGTCTTCCGCAGTACAGAAAAAGTATGATATCACATCTGACTGGCGTTGATCATGGAGCTGCAAAACAATGTTGGACATGAGAACTGTCTTTCCCACACCCATAGTCCCTGAGCACCATAATATTGCCGGGCCAGAACTTTCTTTCCATTTTATAAAAGCTGGATAGGTTTGCAGCCACTCAGATGTGCCTCCCATGCGTTTCTGTAGAGCTCTTTGCCACGGCTTAACATGTTTCACTTGCGAAAGGTTATGTCGAATACTTGTTTTCAACGATCCGATCTCCCGTTTGATTTGGTGCATTCGCCATTCATCTACCTCTGCCTGCTCTCTTTCCGAAGTTTTGAAGAATTTCACTGCAGATGCTCGAAAAGAGGAGTTGTTCTGCCTTTCAAATTCCGACAACCTCATCTCTTCTTGATTTGCTTTTTGTGATGCGAGTGATATGTGTTGTTTTACCTGCTCCACCTCTTTGTTGAGATCATCTAGGATAGGCTGGAACTCGGTCTCAAATGGGTTGATGATCGATAAAAGGGTTTGCGTGGTTGAGCTTCGGTGGGATACTTGTATCAATTTGACACACAGATTGATGATGACGGCATAGTAATCACATAGGGCACCTTGAAGGCCAACACATCCTGGGTAAAGCCCCCCCAAACTCCTGAAATGTCGGACAAGATCTCCCAATATCCATAATCATCCTCGTCACTTTCTCAAAATAGGACGACACATTGCTTGCTACCAAGATCGCGGTTTTTAGACCGCCCCATATCAGTGCCGCAAGGGTGGGGTTTGAGCTGACGAACGTCTCCACCACCCCGGTAAACTGTTGGGCTGCCGAGAGGAAGGTACATAGCCCCATAGAGACACATTGGGTCATTGCCCGGCTATTTATTTTGTCAACATGTTTGACGAAGTCAAGGACACTCGCGGCATCGGGCTTGGTCGTGTTTCGTTGAAACTGACGCTTCTCGTCGTCTGTGAGGGCGTTGCGAAAGTTCTCGAGCGCATTCGTAAGGTTTTGGGTGGGGTCGGGCCCCGGCGATCTTTGTTTTGGTAGTATCAAGGCCATGGAACTGACGATCTTGTACAACTCAAACTGATTCTGTGGGGAAAACTAATGGGTCTCTCTCGAAGTGTCTGAGCAGCTAGAGGTTATGTGGCTGTGCTGAAGGAGACCCCGCTCGGTCATCCTCTTCTCGTGCGGCTGAAGCTGCAAGTCCTCGTATTCTCCTCCATTTGGGCAGTGATGGTTCCCGATAGTTGGACGTGTACACTGTCTGGTGAAAATGATTCTTCCAACAGTTAAAAACCAACACATAGTCTCTCACTTGCCTTCTTCACTCTCCCAGCACTTGCTCTATTTTTGCTAGATATATGAAAGACTTGAAGGAGGGGAAATGATCACTTGCTCAGATGTATTCATCCCTCCATATACAGCCGGATGTTCGGCCTTTAGGCTACTAATAATAGAATTACAGGAGACATTTTATCACCAAGAACCCGTCAAGCAGGCTCATTCAAGCTCATGGGCTGGTGTTAGTGCTGAACGGATCCTGTCTTCGAGGAAGCTCTAGAACCATCGCATTGAATCGCATTGCCTCATATCCATTCGTTGCATCCCAATTGTACAACACGAGGCACAGTAATCCTAGCAGAAAAATCACTACCCCAGTCAGTGGAGCGATTATACTAAACACGGTGAACCCATAACTAGCATTAACAAACGTCTGGTCACTCTGCAGTCTGTCCGTAGAGAGTCCAGTCTGCATAGCGCTTAACACAACTATAGCGTATGCCAGAATCGTGGCCAGGGCAGCAAAGTTATGGCGTATGAGCTCCTCATATGTCGCCGCCCCGCCAACCCGTGAGTAGCCACGAAATATGAGACCCCAGGCCAAAGAGTATATCATGTTGAGACGATTCAAGCCCAGCTCACCATACCAAAATCGCGGATTTATAGAAAAGTAGCAGTGCTGCGATAGGAATTGACTTGAAAAATTTCGCCACTGTTCCCATGTCATAGCTGGGGGAAGTAGACCCTGCTGTTGAGCCAAATTGAAATCAGATTGATACGAAATAAGAGCCGTGTAGTAAAAAGAAAGCCGCGCGCACAAGAAATTTGATTTTTGAGTGATATTGGCCCATTAACTGTCCCGACTCTTGATATGCTCTGAGTCGGAGAGGGGTCACTTTGCCCAGATGTCAGAAAGCAGGCATTGTGTTTATTCCAAAAGTCTGAATGCAGTAGATATAGGGGCAAAGGTTTGATAAAAATCCGATTGCCCAACCACAATAGATGCATGTCCATATCCTCTGTCAAAACAATCGTACGTGAAAGAGCCATTTGTTTATGCATCGCGCGGGGAGGCATGGGCCGACCGCACATCCATAACCAAGAGTGAATACAATTCAGACGGTGCACCAGGAGGTCATGATCAAGGATTGAGCTCAAATTTTTAGAACAGGGGAACACAATTTCATCTGTCTTTGTTCGATAGGTGGCTGGGAGTAAATCCAAAAAGCTAGCAGCTCCGGTGACATCGGCGAAAGCATTAAGGCCAAAGGGCATAGGAGATTCAGACATCTGCAACCTTGGGTGAGTGAGACTTGATGAGTTGGGCTAATTTCCTCTGTCTCAGGACCTTGGTGAGACTTGAGCGATATTTGACTGAAAGGAATTTCCTGCTTCAACACCACTGGGGAATCGCGGAACGAACGTGAAAACGACTCGGAGAAGATCCCAGGGATCTGCACGGAGTCGCCCGTATTGTGATCTGAACCTCTACCGCCACGTCAGCCAGTGCCCTTTTTCACCCTAATCTTCTGTTTAAAATTGGATACATCAAGACTGTTCAAGACTGTTCAAAACTTTAAAATTTGCTCAAATTATATTCTTTACTCTGTACTTTGTATATTTGTTTTGGTTTTGCGCTTTTGTTGTCCTTACAGCTATTTTGGATGCCTGTGTCTAGACCTGGCAAATAGACGAGTCCATGCCCACCTGGCAGGTGGGCAGGTGAATGAATTAGCTTGAACTCCGTAATTTATTTCAATTCCGTTAAAGTGCGTATTATGACAGGTCATATATACCCAGGTATACCTATATACACCGGGTTTTGTCCGCCGGGTGGAGATTTCCTGTCTGGGCTGCCGCCGCTTCAATCAGGGCGATTAGACTCAGGCTCAGTGAGTAAATTAGGCCAGCTACAGTACGATATATGGCCAATATCCTACTAGCGACGCGTGGGAGCCAGCTGCCACCTACCATTAGTAACAATTAGCCATCAACCTTCATCAACTGCCGCTCTAAGCTTCGTACACGCTTCTCGCGAAGATACGATTACCAAAGAGCCCTCGACGAAGATTCAAAGTCCCCAGGGGCCCGCCGGCAGTGGTTTACTACCATAAAACGCACAATCGATGAGAAGGGTATAAAATTGGAGGATATCTACAGCTTTGATGAGACCTGGTTTACAATAGGCCTTATTTCAAATTAGAAAGTGGTTATGCGCGTTGAATACTACGGTCGGAGATCTTTATTATAGCTTGGTAATCGCAAATGAGTTGCTACATACAATCAGGGCTATCTACGTACCTAGATGGCTATTCGCTCCCGCCATATTTCAGGGGTAAGCCCCGAGGTTTACCAAGCTGGCTGGTTTGATACTCTACCAAAGGATTGGCGCTTCAAGTTCTCTAATAACATTTGACGGTTGGACTACCTATGAGATTAGCCTACGATGGCTATAAAAGATCTTTATCCCATCAACAGATTTTCGCGTACATGGTAATGTTCGCTTATTATTGATCCTCGATGGTTATGGTAGCCGATTCAGCTGATCAGTCCACGTCCCTAAGATCATCGATTGTGCACTCCAGGGCTCCACTAGAATCACGTTAGCTAGATACCAAACCATTATCGGCCGTGTCACATACAGAACCTTTTCTCCTCGAAACTGAAACAGCAAACTGTTGGGCAGGCAACCAGTAAATCGGCCTCGCTCAGCTTTTGTGCATCCACGTAGTGAACCGAGCTGAATACAGTACTATAGTGGGTGATTAGTTTCGTAGAAATCGCGAATATGTTACCGTGATCAAAGCAAATTCCGCTGATGGGGCTGGAACATACGTCAATCTTTAACCGCTAATGCGACCAGGCTTGTCACTTCAATTGGGATGCCGTCATCTGTACGCAGCCGTTCAAAGATTTCCTGGATATCTTTGGAAGCCGTATTTTGTAATTCTTCTGGAAGATGGCCAAGAAAGTTCCCAAATGAGCTTGCGTGTAGCAAGTTCAGCAGACTTGTAGAATCCGGACTTAGTATCGTCCCTGGGTGTGAGTGAATCGTCTTGCTAGTAAATCCTGATTTGTTGAGAAGATCACCCAGGTCGCTTTCAATGAACATTTTGATTTCACCATTTGTAATCTCCGAGTACTGTCAATAGCGTTCTGTGGATAGTACAGATTTCTTGACCTCAAAAGGATAGAAAGGGTGGTCTCTGGATGGGGTTGATATTCCGATGCGACCTCCTGGCTTTAACACGCGGACACATTCACGGAGAGCCCGGTCCTGATCATGTAACCAGTGAAAAACGCAGTTGAAAAAGACAACATCGAAGGCGCCGGAATCAAAACTGGAGAGGTCGTAGGCGTCGCCCACATAAAAAGATAAGTTTGGCTGAGCTCTTTTGCAAGCAACGTCGATACGATCCTTGAGCGGGTCAATGCCAATAACGCGCCCTTCATGACCGACGATATTTGCAATGTAACAGGTGAGACGACCAGTTCCCGCTCCAATATCGAGAACTCGTTCTGAGGGTGAAATATTTAACATATTTGCAAGAATCACGCCAACTCCAAATTGGTAGTCACTCATTATATCATAGTGAGAAGCTAGCTGTTGCGTGTCAAGGTCCAGGCGAATCGTGGTCTCAGTTTGTTTATCCATCGTGTTCGATCTTTAACCTTATATGTATTTTTCTGCAATGCTCCTGACTAAACAGCCGCGGCCTACTACCTGGGCACCTATGGATATTCAAATGTTCCAAGGTTGGAGAGGATAGGTCAACTTCAAATGTTGAACTAGTAGGAATGGGTTTTACTCAAGTTCATGAGCAACTTGAAGACGGATGCCAGTGTATACTAGCAGGAATATATTATTGATAGGTACTTGGTACTGTATATATATATTCATGGAGTGAGTAGTAGGTGGTTCCAATGTTGACGGTCAGGCACCAGTTGACGCACTGCTGCTGGCCCAACCTTGGAATAGGTGTGCCCAGGTGGAGGTGCCGCATATGCGCAGTGTATCGTCTTAGGCTTATCCTCAATAGAAACAGCCTGAACTTCAACATTTGAAGTTGCTTCAAGTTCTAGCTATTTATGGGTGGACTCGGAGTGTTAACATTGATATTACAACAAAATATTACATTGGGCACCGAAGTCGTTCAATAATAGCCAAGCTTACTATTATGAGGTCCAACCTGATCCTGTTTATCATCACTGATAAACATTATAATGACTTGGAAGCACACTGCACATGCATATGGACATGCATGTGTGAGTTGTAAAATATATCTTGCATGGTATTGTATTACCTGCTGTAAGATTTCCGCCTGCGCGCAGCCTGCAGGCCAACATTTTTTGAACTGGGTGCTGCAAGCTTGGAAAAGGTTGCTTCTGGTTAATGCTACTTAGGTACCAGGGATTGCACAAGTGTATTTGAAGCCTTTAAATTTTCCAGACTCTGGTACCTAGACTTAAGTGCTATATTACAAATCAAAGCACAGTATTCAATGTTTTAACGGGGAATGGTAAAATGTTCCGTTAGATCGAAAGTTGGCACGCTAGTCAAGTGGGCCTCAGCAGACTACGGGTGGCCCTTGTAACCTATCGTAATATGACAACCCATATTCAACCTGCATAGCTTCACTTCGTGCATCAAATCACTTCGTGCATCAAAGAATACATTAAACCAATCAAATGCTTAGTAGGTTCTTAAAGAAAGTCGGGCAGCAGTGCATTTGCTCAATTTGGCTGATCAAGAACAGGAAGTTGAACAATATGACGTCCGGAAGATTTTTCCTAGTAGAATAGCGTTTTCTCGCCATATCCATTGCATCTGCAGTGTAACATTGAATGAGTACTATCTCAAACAGTAACGGATGGCTTAGGTAGGGTCATTATTAGCTACTAGAAACGCTATAAAGTCATCGTATTTTGAACATTTCCAAAAAGTCAGAGAGATTGATTTTCAAAACTCCGAGTCTACGTTTGTACCCTGAATCCTCTGTTAAAACCTTTGATACAGCCGGTCTTGCTATGATGATATCCCTTTCGGTTGCCGTTTTGTTACTAGCGGCAATGGTTGCCGCACGAACCATTCAGCTTGCTAGAAGGTTTCCCGGTATTCCTGGCCCATTTATAGCACGTTTCACAGAATATTGGAAAGTTTATCATATGTTGAAAGGGGACTATGTTGAAACTCTTTGCTGGTGGCATCAACGTCATGGTCCTCTTATTCGCATTGGTCCTCAAACGCTGAGTGTTGGTGACCCGGCTGAGGTCCCTAGAATCTACCAAACTACTCCCTTGTTGCTGAAGGTATGATGGTGTTTGACTAACAGATTGATGAATACAATGATTACAATAGCTGACATTGGAATAATACGTATAGGGGAATATGTATTGGGGGCTTTCGGCCTGGTATAGAGGTAAGAACGTTTCCGGTGTAGAAGGAATCATGGATGAGACCGAGCACGCCGACGTGAAAAGAGTTATTGGACAGGCTTTTTCCTGGAAATCAGTCCTGGACTATGAGTCTCTTATAGACCGCGCTACGAAGCATTTCTTGGATATTATTCAAGAGTTTGAGGATTTTGATATGCTGAAGTGGATCGATTTCTATACATTTGATAGTATGAATGGTATTGCGTTCTCATCAGATCTTGGTTGCATGAGTCAAGGCACTGATGTTGGTGGGACTTTGAGAACTGTTCGGTTAGTGATGTCACTGTGGACATATACTGTGGGATCTCCGATATTTTTCATGTGGGCTGCACGGGCTCTGAGCTTTGCCATAGGCCCGAGTGGGCCATTGTTAAGGCTATGTCTAGATCGACTGAGGTCCCGGACAGAGGCGCAGGCCAAAATAACACATCCGGACCTGCTTGATGTGTATTTGAAAGCACAAGAGTCCCACCCGGAAATGTTTAGTCGCGAGAAGGTCATCGGTATGACACTTACTACTCTCCTCACCGGATCAGAGACCACGTCAGTCAACTTGGCGTGGACAATTTATCATTTACTACAAAGTCCATCATCCCTCCTCAGCCTTCAAGAAGAACTTGAAACCGCTTGTTTGCAAGGGGAACTTTCCTATCCCCGTCTCTGAAGGATCTGTGTAAACTTCCATACCTTACTGCGGTGATGAAGGAAGGGATGCGATGCGCTTCCACAGTTCAGATGAGTTTAGAGAGAATTGTCCCACTCAGTGGAATGGAGATATGTGGCCGTTATATCCCACCTGGAAGCACCGTGGGGTGTCTTCAGCAAGTGATTCATCTCAACCAGAATGTATACGGCTATGATGCTGCCATCTTCCGTCCTGAGAGATGGACAGAAGCAAGTGACGATGTGCAAAAATCAATGGAACGATGTGGAATGTGGTTTGGACACGGCAAACACATGTGTCTTGGCCAGCACTTTGCTCGAGCCGGGATGATGAAGCTATTGGCGATGATGCTGATGAGATTTGATGTGAGTTTTTACGTTACCATTCAGTCTAATAATTACTTGGGACTGAACAAGATATAGATATTTGCGGTGGATCCAAATGCTCGTTTGATTCCTAAAGTCAGTACTCTAGGAGGGCCAGCTGGTCGGTACTACATAAGAGTGAAACCGAAGCAGGACGTCAATCAGTCTAAATTAAGACCTGTGCAACCAGACAGTCTTTCCAACGACAAAGAGCATGAAGAAGCCGATGCAATTAACATGGCGCTACCTGTGAATTCTGGGGAAGTTCCTACAATAGGAAACATGGAGAAAGATAGAAGAAAAGTCGCAGACATAACTACCCAACTACAAGAAAATTTCCCTGCAGTCTCCAATGCTGGGTGTTCATATGTACGGCCCAATGACAATTACCACGGCTTTACTGATGATCTCCTCACTTGCGATGGTATTTGCCATGAGCCTCGTTCAATTTGTATTGATGAGCTCAGGTATGTTGTTGCCAACTGCACCGCTTCTGCGGGCGGTGGCACACACTCCATGAATCTTTGGCTTCGTATGGCCCGGGAAGCGCTTGGTGAGCTGGACAAAGAAAATGAAGAGGTTCTAGTATCTGATGTTACATCTGTTACTTCTCCTGATGGATTATTTGCATGGTCAACACCCGAAAATGCCGCGATTGCGATGAGTGGTGGGGATCATGCATCCCTCTATCTACCAATAGCCGTCTGTTGGCCCCTATCAACATTTGCATCCTCTGGGAGTTTCCATCCTACTTGGGTTGAAGACAGTATCGGCTTCATCACTGCACAGTCTGCTGGGTGCTTGTTTAACAGTCATCTTGTGGTCACCCGGTCAACGACACCAACCAGCCGCATTCACCACGTCAGCGTCTTAACAGGGTTGGAGATTGCCCGGGTTGGCAACCTGGCTACAGGAGCCCTGAGTGGACTCTTCTTCTTGGCTAATCATAAGCCAGAGAATATGGTCGGCAATACTCGTGCAGTGAGCACTTTCTTTATGGGGCTGGCGTACGCAGACGAACTCGCTAGTCCAGATCAGGGTGGGGAGTGGTCTCATCTTTCAAACCTTGCGGGGCCGCTACTTGCGGCTGAGAGACTGATAAGCGGGCCTCTACCCGAACTATTTGATCGCGCACTATTCGGGTATCACTGCTGCACTGTACGTGCTCGGGCACCCTTGGACCTGACCCCTGTGCCCATACAAACGTTGTTCCTCGCGAGATTTTATGACTCGACTCTACCAGCATACCTTGATTGTATTAAGTGTTTAGAACCGGGTTCTGTTCTTCCAGCCCGTGCTACTACCTGGGGAACACTACTATCAAACGATGTGTTCGACTACGTGAGTGATGGGCTTTCAGGTAGAGTGGCCAACCTTTGCTGGGCTATGGGTACTTGGGACAGCCCCATTGAGTGTGCTCGCATGTTCCGTGGGTGCTTAATTGCTGTTGCGCGGACTGCTCACCATGCACCTGGGTCGCTTTTCGCTCTCTTATATATGGAGTTTACATACCTATATACTGCGCGGTACTTCTACTCCTCGATTCCATGTGACACAAACCTCTCACTAGACGACACCTACATCCCATATTCCGTTGTCGATATCCCTACACCTGGTGCAACACCTATCAGCGGGTTCCGTGCCACGCTACGAGCGGCATTCTCCGCATCGTCGTATGATCCTCATAATGCATTATTTGACCCTCTCACTCCCTTTGACGTAGGCTCTGCCGTGAATACTGCGAATGGATCTTTGCCCCCTTGGCAAGGCCTGGCGGCTACACCGTGTGCTTGGGATATTGCGTATGGGGAATTTGATGTTGTGGCTATGAGGGCTACGCATGACATACTTGGTTGCCTTGACCGTGGGGTTTATGCCGATTCGCCTGGGCTGTACCGTGCCCACCTGGGGTGGCTCATTCGTCAGTATGACTCATTAGTAGCGGCAGGGCGCGACAATTTGGGGGTAGGGCGGTACTACGTCGCCAACCGAGTGAGCTGATCCTCTAAATTGAGACTGGACTAATTTCGCAAAACGTTTATGCATGCGGAACATTGGATGAATGCCCTGAAACGAACGGAGTGAGAGCAAGGGTTTACCTTCGTGCCCAGGGAATACCCTGTCAAAAAGGCTTTATCTATTCTTGTTGATATTAGCCAAACCCTTGTTTTTTCATTCGTCACTTTTTTCCTTGCCCTTTTTTCATTCGCTTCTTGTCTTCCACAGTCCATTCTCGTTGCACCTATACGTCTTAGGCATAGTTCTGGGGGTTTTTCTTCACTGGCCGTTTCCTCTTCAGCATTACTGCCATATTAGAAATCAGATTCCCCCTTATCCACTCAGAAAATCATTCTCCACCCTATATTAACAAACTCTAGTGAATATCCAGGTTAGCTACAGACCGTGGCTTGTAAATAATACAATAACCGTTCATAATGGTCTGGGCTCGGGGACATAGTACCTCTTACCTCACCTCCAGGCTATCTTTATGCCCGTGGACAGCGAATGAATCACGGCTCAAGGCAGTTTAACTACTGCATCGGTTGGCCTCCACAAAAGCGGGAAATTGTTTAGAGTATTACGTCGAGCCAAAACTGATTCGACTCCGCTGAGAGAGCTACAGGAATATCCGTTTGAAGGGGTTAATGAATAGTATATATTGGGCTCAAATTCATTTCCCTTCATAATCAAAGAAAGGAGCAGAACTAACAATTAGATCTCCAACAAATTTAAGTTTTTGGCGCAAGGATGGGTCTGCCTTTCTTTCTCCTTTGAGTCTGTTGCTCAAATGAACAGGCATATTTTATAAGCTTTTCTTCAGAGAACTTTTTGCCAATAAAGCTAAGCCCAAAGCTATAGATAAAAACAGTCAGTGAAACAAATTGGTGAACATATCATTTGAAAATGCTCAAAATCCGACTCACGGTAGGTTTGGACCTCGCTCTATCATATCCCCTCGTGGGCACATTTTTATCTCGCTGTCCTCTGGATAGACCCCTAGAGGTACCGTGATGATTGGATAACCGCCAGGAGCTGGGACAATCGGTGACACACAAGTAGGCAAGATGAGAGCATCCAACCTATTCTTTTCAAGGGCCCCTTGCACCCCACCCCCATGAGCCAACCGTTCCATATATTCCAACGCTGCCTTGAATTCTTCGCATTCCCTGTTATCAAAGAAGTCCCAGGCGTTTTCCATGGCCTTATTCCCTCGAAAACGATATTGTTCTTCGGGGGTCAGTTTGAGTCCAGTCAATCACATCTTGGAGGCTTTTGATGTTGTTGGGATTGTACTCCAGCTTCTCTAAATAGTTCGCCAAGTCAAGCTTAAAGTCGGTGCCTTTTACAGCGGCGACAGACTTACTTTTTAAGGCGTCCTCGTATCCTTCAAAGCAGCAGTCGTCCACAACCGTTGCACCCAGTTCCCGAAGCACTTCAACATAGGCCTCAAACTCTTTTGACACAAAAGAAGTTAGCTCTGCACAAGGAGGGTTTCCTTTTAGTGCATTTCTGGGAATACCAAGTCTGGCCCCTCACAGTCCATCAAGCTTGCAAGCCTTGGTGTAGTCCGGTATTATCTCAAATGGAATAGCATTTGTTGCAGGGTCATTAGGGCATTTCCCTGCGATCGCAGTTAGAGTCGCAGCCGCATCCATGACGCATCTCGTGAGGGGCCCTATGGACCCTAGTCGTCTTGAAAGTATCACTAGGTCCCTTGAGACAAGCCCAACGGTAGGTTTGAGACCAATCAAGTTACTTCTCTCCGCCACACAGGTGATGCTGCCTTCCACCTCGGTGCCAAGACCAGCAAACGCAAGGCCCAGAGCTGTTCCGATGGCAGGTCCAGTGCTACTTCCCCATGGATCCTGATTTTCGAAAAATATGCCCACTGATTGACCACCATCCGCACTCCAGCCATTGCCAGCCATTGCCAGCCATTGGGGGATTTCTGTTGTTGCCCCATTGTGTGAGATTTGCGATACCCAGGGTGATAACACCGGCATCCCTCAGTCTCTTGACCACTGCCGTATCGCGACCGGTCTTTGCGCCAAAAAGAGCCGTAGAACCAGAAGTATTATTCATATTATGCGTCGCGAATTGATTCTTCAGAATTATGGGTATACCGTGCAGGGGGCTAAGTAAAAATCAGTCAGACTTGCACATGTGCATACAGAAGACCAGGTGAGAAGATGAGTTCCAACTTCCTGATATTCCAGCTAAGCGCTCAGCGTCAAAAGCCTTTGCCTGATCCAAGGCGGCTGGATCTAGCTCAGCTATCGCTCTTACAATATGATTGACTTCTTGGATGCGTTTGAGATATGATCGAACAAGATCGGTCGATGTAAAGAAGTCACCTTCTAGGCCGTAATTAAGGTCCTCCAGGGTCATATCCATCAAAAACGGACGCGGCCTGGTGGTCTTTTTGAAACCCATATTTGAGGCGAGTTGGATGAGGAAATATTTGATTCTAACCCGAAGGCTTTCTGAGCAAGGATGTTTTCGATGTAGAGTCTATGGTTGTCGTATCGTAGCTTTTTCAAACCGATCGGTGAGAGGAGCCCCGGGGTGAACAGACACTTACAAATCAACTTAAGTGCCCAGGTGGTTTGATCTTACTTGGGCAAGGGTAAAGTACCGCTTGACGGGACACCTGGGCAGGGGTAGATGGAATGTCTTTCGTTGCATTTGGACCAATTCTTTCAATACCCATGCTAGCGTGTAAAATAATGCCCCGCCTAGGTAAAATAATTGGACCAAATGGTCCGAATAGCCCTTTTCTATTGCCTAATTAGGTGAAGCCTGTGGACACTAAAGTCTAGGGGGAGTTTTAGGCGACACCGTGTCCAGGTAGGCTTCTTTGTTACCCTGTAGTCTCACCTGGGCACTATAGGCCTATATTTTAGTCTACATATACATAGCCTAAACATTAGGGTAGACATAGAGTAAATAAGCTACTTGGCTAGTTTAGAACTTAATCAATAGGCTCAATCTTAAAAACATCATAAATTAGAGAGAACTATAGATTATGATTAGCTCTTCTAGACCAAAAAGACATAATCTACTTAGGCAATATCCTACCTGAAAGCACCTAGCCTATATTATAGCGTAGCCAAGAGGTTACTCTAGCCAAATGCTTTGGGGCCCATAGACTTCACCCTGGGGACTGAAAAATGGTCTAAATGGACAATTCAACTACAGAAAGGGGTATAGTCTAAACTGTGGAATGACAAATAGTGAGGCAATAACTTACACTGGCACACTTGTACGGGGGTTGAAAAAATTGGGCCAGACTCCAAATACACCAAATCACAGTCCATCCAGCCGCACCGCATCAATGGTTCTAATTACTACTAATCGTAAATTACCCTGTATAAAATATCTGTAATAAAGATGGATGTTTAAATGTAGACAGATAGCTAGAAATAGTAATCAAGAATGTCATGACTATATAAGCTGTTATAAATCAATCTAGCTAAGGGGTCATCTAGTAAAGTAACGCCAAACAAAAGGAAAAAAATTCGAACATTATATCATAATTAACCCAACCCGCTTGCACATCTCAGTCTCCAGGATTTACACAATGATAACCGATGGAAGATTACTTTGCAGTGAATCCTTCAACTCATTTTTCTCCGCGGTCCAGTTTTCAATAGCCGTGCGAAGAGAAGCAGCAGTATCTTGATCGGTAGCAGTACTCTTATGAGAGCGCTCAGCAGCAGGCCAGATCTCATGGCCAGCCTCCCTCTCCTTCTGATGATGCTCTTTCACCACATCGCGCACAGTCTTCTGGAAATGAAGCGGGCCCATCTCCATCTCAGGGTGGAGCTCACCGTTGACAAAGACACCAGCATTGAGATTCTTCTGGGAAAGGATGCAGAGGTACTTATCCTCAGACATGATACGCTTGTACATATCACTGATAAGATTGAATGCCTCATCAGTAGCATCTTTGTGTCGGTAGACCTCGTAACGCATAGTGCACTTGGTCGGGCTTGTCGGGGTAAACCGCTGCATGAAGAAGAAGTTGGGGCTAATATTGAAAGAGGCATTGGGCCAGAAATAAGTTGTGGCAATTCGGAATCCCTGAGCGATCTGGTCGTCACGTTGCGCTCCATAGTGCTGGATGTGGCCGTCCTTGGTCTTGACGTAGTAGGAGGCTAGATCCGCGATTGTGGGGATATCCGGGTGCGCTACTTGGCAGTGGTAGCACTCGTTATAGTTATCGGCCAGAATCTTCCAGTTGAATTCGCCTTCCATGTCCCAGGTGTGATCGAAGTTGTACTCTTCAAAATTGTAGTGATCGAATCGAGGCTGCTCGTCGACGCCTTCGAAATCGTCGTTCCAGGCTACTTCGGGCGTCTCGGCGGCATCAAGGTTGACCCAGATAAAGCCGTTGCGGTCGATATGCATGTGGATGGGAGTCAGGTCATCACTGTGAACGGCGCTGATGTTTCCTTGGTGATCCTTCAGAACGATGAACTCGAAGCCGGCAGCGTCGTATCCAACAGAATCGCCGGGGTTGGACACACGGTGCTTGTGTGTAGTGAGAAGCCACTTCCGAGAGAAGATGGATCGTCGTTCCAGCTCATACATATATTGAGATGTGTACCACGAAGCAGGAAGAGCGCGGACAGCCGTCTTCTCCTCCTTCGCCGGCATGGGCGTGGTACCGAAGAAATTCCTCAAGAAGGACATGTTGGTTGTGATGGATAAAGATTGATGTCTTAGTTCAGATAAATCAATCAGCGACTGAGAATTGAATTTCTGAAGATTCCAATTTCTCACTTTGAACTTCGAGTTATTGTTATCTGTCTTCTAGTCCAAGATATCTGCTCTTCTATATAGATAACCATCTCGACCAGCCTCACGGAATCCACGGGCCCAACACCTTATCCGCCCTTCTTTCACGGTGATACAGTCCTCCACACCCGAGACCAAGAACAATCTGGGGAGACAATCAAAATCAGGTGGCCATTATCGACGGGCGATATACCTCGGGACCGATCAGGTGATCGGTTGTCAATTTCCCAACCGGGCCGAGTGGCTGCAGAGCTATCGAGAACTCCACGATTGTCGTGAGACGGGCGTATTTGGTGGCGATGAGAGCAACGAATAAGATCCTCGCCTTCTAGCACCATTATCTTTCATGTTTGATCTAGAACTCCACGTCGATCCGACCCCGGTTCGGTCGTCCATCCGTTCCACACCGGAGCTGTGAAGTTCCTCAGATGGAGGTGGCCAGCACAACAATCCCCAGTTTACCACGACCTGGAGAAGTGGAGAATAGACCGGGAGGCGTTTTATTGAGTGGAACTTATGATCATATGATGACGAAGAAATTGTTTTTGTCACTAGCTTGAACGCAACACGGAATACTCGGTCATGGCATACATTGGCTTCTTGCAAGGCTACAACTATACTTGGGGTACACCAAGGAAGAGCACTGGTAGTGGAGCTCTACTAGTATCCGCTTTTGCATGATCCTTCTCACTCAATATGAGATATCCTGAGCACCCATTGACTTATCTGTTGACGCCGATCCCTCCAAAGTTCACATGAAACCGAATTCGAAGATAAAGATCCTGGGCCTTCGACATTGAAGGATTGGGCACCTGGGCAGATAGCGAGCCTAAGAGAGGTATGGCGAATTGAAGAGTACATGACAGTGACTCATAATTGGCGAAAGAGAAATTTCATAGGATTCTCTTACTCGGATGGTATTAGTCTGGTCGGGGTGACCCAGCCACGGCCACATAACTCCATGCTTCGGGAACCGACCACCGTCGGCGCGGAAATAGCCTTACCGCTTCTAATAATATTTCCATTACAGCCAATGAAATTGCCTGCGAATTCTCTTTCCCACCTGAAAATGGGGAAAGATCCATTCACTGGGAGGGATGGGGATGCACTAAACATGTAAGAGAATCTGATCCATGGGTTGACTCGTATATCACACATAGGAAGTTATACATTCAAAATTCAGTGTGTTCTTTATATTGAGTTCAGGTCAACAAATGCCAGGGGCGAAAATATAAGGAGGAATGGCCTTCAAGCCCTGGAATTGGAAGACAGACCCGATCCATGGGTCCTTACTGGGCTGAATGCTTTTCTTATCTCTACCCCAGTTGCGTGACAGTACATAGTTAGCTCATCTTTGATCCGATTGGTAATTCTGATATCACGAGATCTTATAGTGCCACAAAGGACTGATATTATGCAGTTTTGGATCGGGGAATGCAAGGGGTAGAAAGAATGTATTGAAATGAATCTGCGGAGAGCGGAAGAGCACATTCGGTGTCTGTCCATAAAACTCCCGGCTAATGACTGAGTATGGTCGCTCGATCATGTACATCGGTCTGCCCCTGGCAGTACCCAAGTTCCCTTTTATCTTCCGAAAAAAGTGCAATCAGTCCAAAGTTTAGGATTGAATAAGGACTTTGATTGATCCGCTCTTTGGATTGGCAACAGTCTCAAACGCCTCGATCGCATTCTCAAGCCTGAAAGTATGCGTGATAATTCTACCAAGATCAACCATACCACTCTGCAAGACCCGGATAGCCCTCGGCCACATATTGACATAGCGTTGTTGGAACTGCAGGTCAACCTCATTGGCACTGCATCGCATAAAAGGAATCTCCATCTTCTCCTTTCCAACTCCAATGACAAATACCTTTTCACCAAATTTGACAGTTTGAATAGCATTGCAGACGGAACTTTGAACACCAGTACATTCCAAAGCCAACGAGATCTCAACATGACCCAAAGACTTTGCAACAGTTTCAGCAAACTGTTCTGGTGTCTCGTCCCGGGTGACCCTATGAGTAATAACCTGGGGCATGGTAGTCTTCGCAAAGGCAAGTCGCGACTCATCAATATCGGAAATAACAACGGGATACGCCCCTGCCGCTTTGCACACATGGAGTGTAATAAGACCAATAGGTCCAGCACCACAAATAAGCACAGGGTCACCAATCTTAATTCCCGATCGAGTCGCCGCAGTGAGCGCTACACTCAAAGGTTCAAGAAGAGCCCCTTGATCAAAAGACAAATTCCCGATCTTATGACACCATACAGCGGGATGATTCACGTATGGGTGCAATAGACCGTGAGAGGGCGGGCTCGACCGAAACAGCAAATCCTTGCACCCATTATAGCGACCTATCAGACATGGCTCACATTTCCCGCAGATTATGTGTGGTTCAATGGCGACTTTGTCTCCGATCGCGAGGTTGGTAACGGTTGGATGAACGGCAATCACCACACCGGCAGATTCGTGGCCCAAGATGTGTGGTTCAGTCACTTGCCATGGACCGATGCCGCCGTGCTCCCAGAAATGAATATCGGAACTGATGAAGAGTGAACATCTTGTTAGTCTCCAGTATCCAATTGTCGTATGGTGTGAGGTGATCATACCCGCAAATCCCTGTCGACTTGATGGCCACAGTAACCTCACCATTCTCAAGACCGATACCAGTGCATACATCTTCGACACTTGGTGATGCGTTTTCAAGCCAGATCCTATGAGCTGGATCTATATACAGGCCGATATTGGGTGGCAGCTCGGAAGTAAGGTTCGTCGATTCTGTTGACATACTGATCTTCAAGTTGATTTCTGACGCTGAAAAAAAAAGATCAGATCAAGGTAGTACACTGAAAGGTGTTTGAATGCGGGAAATGAGATCACATCTTTATAGATCCATGTTGACTGCAAAGTACTTCACTCTGCATACAGACGTCAGTGATAGATCGCTTTATTTTCCACTTTCGGAAGCCAGGACGCATAAATATCCACTTTAAGCGATATCCACTGCCATCTTTTGGCTCCACCTGACCAGTTGGTGAATATCGATTTCGCTACCCGCTCATTAATGGAAGAAGAACTGGAAGTAAAAATATTCGTGGAAACGTTGGAAACTATTAAGGCATTTCTATCATAAAATATCCGACAAATACATCAAGAATGTCGAGTCTCTTAGGCAGCTATTATTTGCGGATTCCATGATCCAAACAGACAAATGGAACAATCCAACGAGGACCACATATATAATGTCTTCCAGAACAAAAACCGACAAGAATCTTCATATCAACTCAATGACGTGAAATTTACAAGGCAATGGGTGTAGACAGAGTGAAAGAAACAGGAGACCCTGTCAACTCAACCCAGACAGTGAGAGGATCACTGCCCAGCTGTTCAGTCGTGAATCCCTGAGTGTTAGTGGGAGCAACAGGGAATGTCACCGGGATGGGCTCGCTGCAGGTATTGCCTGTAGCTGAGACAGTCACCCCAGTGATCTTCTGATTCGCTGTAGTATAGCTGACAGCATATCCACATGCGTCTCGGATGTAACGAGCGTTGAAGCCCGCAGACATCTAGAAAGAAGGTTAGCAACATACATAAAATCGATTTCGAGAAAGAAAACCATAGGGACTTACATCAGCATGCTTGATAGTCACAAGAGGCCAGTCAACGAGACGCACGAACTCCTGGACTACGATCTCAACCCAAGCTTGGAAGAGGGAGTATTGACCAGAGACTCCATTGACTGTGATAGGATCCGTATCACTATTGCGCAAGTTCGCCTGGTGGAACATGTAAGGTTCGTGATAGAGATCGAACAGATGACGCATCGTATCATCCTGCTCGGCTTCAAGAAGGTCATCAAAGGTACCACTGCCATCCGACGTGTTGATCCACTCATCTAAAGTGCAGGAAGGAGTGCAACAGTCGTAGTAGATACGAGTCGACCAACGAGGGTTCACCTGCATGCCATCAAAGCCGTCCGTAGCAGTCACGGTCCAGTAGGGCCACATCGGATTCTCTGCATTGAGCAAAGCAGAGCGAGTGTTATCACCCACGCAGTTCGTGATACCGTTATCCCACCAAGCCTGGAGAGCATCACCATTGTGCAGGCCAGTGATAGCGGGAGGGATGATTCCGTTGGCAGTGAAATGCTCGGCTTGGTCAATTCCGACCTGCTTCAACCAGGCTTGGTTGAAACTGATCTCCTTATAGATATCGGCGTATGTGGCGTTATCTTGTGCTTCGTGAGTGAAAGTGTGGGAAAGTTGACCGAAGCTGTCAAGGTTGGCTTGCCACCATACCAGGAGAGCATCTCGGGATGTGCAATCGGTGGTCCAATCGTAGGTTGTGGGAGTGGTGGGCCATTTGTCAGTGCCAGTTCCAAGAGGCTTCTGCCATTCAGCTGCAGTGGTTGCAGCTGCTGAAGGGTAGACACCACCGCCACTGCAAATGCCCCAACCATCATCGAAGTTCGAGGAGAAATCAATATTTCCATTACCATTGAAACCAACCTCGGGCCAGTAAGAGCTACCATCATTCATTTTGGCATTGATGGTTGGAATCCAGTCAAGGACTGCCTCCATATCATCAGTAGTGATGCGGAATGTTGAACCACTGGGCTCGTAGAGATTGGTAGTCAGCATCATATCATCAATCTGGGTATTGAGATAAGTGCGACGCCATCCAGCATGGAGACCACGAGTCATCCAGGTGATCCAAGCGTGCTGCAGATACGCTGAGGTGGAACTCCATGTAGGATCCAAGGACATGTGGAATACCATCTGCTCGCGACCATCAAAGTCATTAATGACAGCAGCAGTGGTATCGGTTGTAACAACCGAGTTCGCAGCAAAGGATGCGATCTCCTTGGTGTTGCTGGTATTCAGGATCGTGGACGAGTAGTGCCAGAGGCCTTCAGTGCTCACACCGGCACCTGTCTTCAGCCCAGCAGTGGGAAAGTCGCTCACGTCTGTGAACGAGATATCCTGTTCGACGCCAGTATCGCAACAGCCGTCCGAGCCACTAATGATCTGAGTTCCATAGTCTGAACCAGGATAAACATCATATTGGACCATTCGAACGCCATACTCGAGTTGGTAGGCATAAAGCTGGTTCCATTGATCAGTGGTCAGACCACTTGCCCAGCCAGAGTCATACTCATAGCTGATTCCGGACGCAACAACGATACCACCGAAGTTGCCTCCGGAGGCGCTCTCGAGCGCGGGTAGATCAGCACCGTCTTGTGGGACTACCAGAGTGGTGAATGGGATTCCATAACCATTGAGACCGAAGCTTGCAACATTTGCTGACGAGGCATCTCTGGCAATGACCAAAATATTTGCCGCAATGGTAGCCTGGCTTAAAGCAGACGTCGAGATTGAAGACATTATGAATGATCAATGTGAAAAAGAATGGAAAAATATAATCTCCCTTCTCAATTGAGAGGACTCGGGAATGGGGTATAGAAGAGAAAAGTGGCTGCGAGTTCGCAAGAGATGACCCACTATAGCACTTGGGAACTACTGCACTGGCAGTAGCAGCAGGTAGAGACTCGGAGGAGTCGCAATTCTGCAAGGCCTATGGTTGACTCTCATAGAAGAGAACGTTGTGAGTTGCCCAGTCCATCGTGTTGGACCTTGCTATTTATCACTCTGGGAGGCAACTAATTTTTCGCGAGCTCTATACGAGAAATTGTAGACCCGAGGTGGCTTGATGCTTACAAGGCAAACTAAAAATGCAGGAGAGAGGGGACTCAATGAATGATTCACACTCTTCGCGAATCAGAGCTGACAGCCAAGAAAAGAGTGATAATGAAGTGCATTAAGCTGCATGAATGTTCCGTCTTAGCACATACATCGGGGTCAGGGACGGGTAGCCAAGAAGTCTATCGGTTATACTAACTACAATTAACAATCGTCTCCGTTCAGGGCCTCATATTGCATCAAGTTTTTTCTGCGATATTTCTTGCATCGAAAGGCCATGTGACGCTAGCGTGTTGCCCAGACTCGAAAGTGGCGATGCAGACTCGGGAATTTTTGTGAAGAGAGCATCGGGGATGTCAAATCCAGTCTAGTTCAAATGCATGTGTAGTCTGGTCCCGATGCATGCAGGGCGACTGAATTTTTCATTGCAAATGATTGGCTCCTTGAAAAAAGGGTCCTGATGAGAGCCGTGATTATTGGCGGTAACTTGAACTTATGAGGTGACTTGAACCTTTAAACACATACCAGCTGGTCATTGTATCGAAAGGAGCAGAATAGGTCATGTATAGCCCTGGAGCCATGGAGGGGAAATCCGAGAATCAACCCCCAACCCGGTTGATCCGAGACATGCATGATTGCTATAATGATCTAAGAAACTTTCGCGGGGTTACGATCTTGACTTCGGCATATCGCGAATAAGCAGATGCAGGGGTTTTCCGTATCCGCCAGGCCTAGCCAATAACACCCGACCGGGGCTATGGGTTGCCAAGAGTTCTGTTAGCCACAATACATATGACCCAGATAATTGATCATAGCATCAGAAAAATGATCCTTTGGTTGTTAAATATTGCACGTATAGTGAAATGACAGATCCGACATGCTATGTTGAAGATAACCATGGATATGTTTGACGAGAGAAGTGATTCAATCATGAGATCGGCACAAACATTTGCCTAATATATCTTAGCGTGAGAAAGTCTTGGCAATCTGAGTATTTTGGGACCTGGACTTGGCAACTCACTCACACAACTTGCAAGCGCTGATGGATAAGCTAAAGATCCGCACCTCCACCCCGAAATGTGGAAATGACATCTGAATGATGCCACACAGACCAATCGCTTGTGGGAGATCGGGCTTTTGCACTTATCCAGCTGGAAACCAGTCGGCAATATCACACTCGCTAACACCGTGACCGATCCTACGGCCGATCCGGGCCTGGATTCGGGAGAGCTCACTATAGGGGTGGATCTTTGTGATGCTCGTATGCATTGAGTTTGCCCTGCGAGTGAAGAAATTCCAGGGTCTTCAGGTGTGCGTTATTAATTGACCGCCAGACCACTAGTTAGTAGGTAGTGAAAGTGGAGCGTGTTAGCGAGGGGAAACCATGGAGAGAGTAAGTGGAACGGCAAATTGAGAATTACTAGTAATACTTATCAGGCCATCGGGTAAAGTTCAAATCTTCATCTGATAAGCCCATGATCACAAATTTATACTTGGCGAGAAGCGGATTGGTAATGTTCATCCGGGGCATGGGAATTAATTTCAACCTTCAACTGCAGCACTAGGCCAAAAGTACTCCGTACCGAGTCGCCCTTTTTCGAATTCATTCACCGAAGATGCATGAAGGGACGCCCAAACCAAAAAAGACACCACCGGTCATAGCATAGATATTCATAGCACCGTCGTATCCTAGCTGGTCGGTGATTGGCACGGTCGAGTAGCTCAACCCGAATGCGATGGATCCTCGGCCTTCACGAATAACAAGCAACAATGGACCAATTTGCTCCGGGAAACTGTCAATCGCATATGTGATCGCAGCAAGATTTCTTCCTAGGAAAGATAAGTAGCCAGGGTGATATGAAGTCGCAATATCACCCTATGACCAATGGTCGGGATTCGTTACTGCACGACCGTACTAGTAGATGGTACTTCACTTGTTGAGTACTTTGAAAATGCAATCGGTTCCGTAGCCCAAAACCGGAATCATCACCATCGTGTCAATGACCTGCATTACTTGAAAAAAACCCAACCCAATCGACATAGAAGGAATATGGATGGCAGGCTCATGAGAACACTTACAACTTGAAAGGTCGAAGCCTGCCCCAGGTGGCATACATATGCAGATACCAAGACACGCGCCATTGAGGAGTAACGCCCAGAATATTGTCGGTAAAAGAAGCCGCTTGAGAATTCGAAAATACCGATGTAAAACAATACTGAGTCTTTCAAGTTCTAGGTAGGTTTGAAGTAGAAAATGCTCAACTCGTCTCCCCATGTACGTGCATGTGGCCTATAGGTGGCATGGTCAATGAAGCGACCTTCTTTCAAGGTCGCCTTATTGTGCTTGAGATCATTACTCTACCTCTCCTCTGCTATTTACATCACTACTAGCACTCACAATAAAAAAAACAGTCTTTGACTTAATCTCTAGGTATTAAATCCGATGAAAGGATAGTATATAATTTAATCTGATGTGATACCTAGTTGAGCGTGTAACTTTTAACATTTGAACTAACTTTAAGTTGAACTTGAAATTTGATGTCTAGTTTAATGTATACTACTGGTATTTCGATCTAAAACTCCAAATAGGGCAGTACTATAATACAGAGAAGCTCCCTTCAAATATTTACTAATAGTACTAATTACGGTCAAATTAAGGTGCGACCGGAGAAAAAATAAATCTAGGCTGTAGAGACCAAAGGAAAGAACCAAACAAATGAATGAACTTTTCTCTTTCATACAATCAATTAGTCCACGGGTCAGTACAAGCTTGAACGATTTCCAGGATCGGTTTGATGCCTCAATTCCAAGAGTTTTGAATGCGGAGTTGAAGCAGGAGTCAGCCGGAGTTCAGCAGATTACGGGTGCGGAGTAAGCCGGAGTTGGCTGTTTACAGTCCGATTGGAAGCAAGTCCTGCTCCCTTGGCTCCACTAACTCCCAGGAGGTTCCCACGACTTCACGAGTCCGCAACAATAAGCTTCTACAGTGGATTTGACATTGTCTGGACATTTTGCGCAAAGAAAGTGCAAAGAAAGTACACACTTCAATGTCCGAAGCCCAAGCCCGGAGCCCGGAGTATTGTTCAGCATCTTCGAAGCACTACAGTTTCAGCTTGAGCTCAAGTGCTATTACTAGTGCAGAATAAATCATCCGTATCAAGCATGATGAGGTGCTTGGTTACACGTGGGATCGGTGAAAATCACTATTCTCAGGACCCTGAACTATGCTCATTTGAGAAATTGCCTTCTCGCGTACTGAAATCATCGATCTATCCCATCAACTGGCACAGGATCTTTCCAATTCAGTTTTCCATACCAAACATACAAAATGGGTAGCACCAACGAAGAATGGATTAGCGAGCCCATCGCCATTATTGGCTTAAGCTGCCAGTTTGCAGGAGATGCAACCAGCCCCGAGAAGCTATGGAGTATGCTGGCCGAGGGGCGAAACGCCTGGTCTGAGATACCATCCTCGCGGTTCAATCCTAAGGCGGTTTACCACCCCGATAGTGAGAAGCTAAGCACAGTGAGTTAAGTAATTCAGGAAGAGGGTAGCTAAATCAGAATTTCACAGGGCTGACACAACATAGACTCATGTCAAAGGAGCTCACTTTTTAGACCGAGATGTTGGCCTTTTTGATGCCGCGTTTTTCAATTTTTCGGCCGAGACTGCAGCAGTGAGTATTGACCATGTATCATCATATGCTTGACTTGGCTGAATAATGTTTCTCTTCTTCTCCTTTCAGGCCCTAGATCCCCAATTTAGATTTCAACTTGAGTCAGTATACGAGGCTTTGGAAAATGGTAAATTGAGGACTCGGATCCTAATGACTCTTCTTGGAAACGGACCGCTAACCCAAAAAATGCAGCCGGCCTTACCATTCCCCAAATTGCAGGGTCTAACACATCTGTTTATGCCGGCGTGTTCACGCACGACTACCACGAGGGATTAATCAGAGATGAAGACAAGTTGCCGCGATTCTTGCCCATCGGCACCCTGTCAGCTATGTCATCGAATCGCATATCTCACTTCTTTGATTTGAAGGGTGCCAGCATGACGATAGACACAGGCTGTTCGACAGCTCTCGTTGCTTTGCACCAAGCAGTTCTTGGACTGCGCACCGGCGAAGCCGACATGTCTATCGTGAGCGGATGCAACCTGATGTTATCTCCAGACATGTTCAAAGTATTTTCATCATTGGGAATGCTGTCACCTGATGGTAAGTCATACGCTTTCGATTCAAGAGCCAACGGCTACGGCCGCGGAGAAGGTGTGGCTACCATTGTCATTAAACGGCTTAAGGATGCCCTGGAAGCGGGTGACCCAGTTCGAGCCGTGATCCGGGAGAGTTATCTTAACCAGGACGGAAAAACTGAGACGATTACGTCGCCGTCGCAGTCTGCGCAGGAGGCGCTCATCCGCGAATGCTACCGTCGAGCCGGCCTCAAACCCCAAGACACGCAATACTTTGAGGCACATGGTACAGGAACGCCTACGGGTGACCCCATCGAGGCGCGATCCATTGGCGCCGTTTTCGCAGAAGGCCGAACGGAGCCGCTCCGCATCGGCTCTGTCAAGACCAACATCGGCCACACTGAGGCAGCTTCGGGATTGGCTGGCCTTATCAAGGTGGTGCTGGCTATGGAGAAGGGCCAAATTCCGCCAAGTGTCAATTTTGAAAAGCCCAACCCTAAGTTGCAGCTGGAACAGTGGGGTCTCAAGGTGGCTGCAGAGCTGGAGCCATGGCCAGCGGCGAACGACAGGCCCTGGCGTGCTTCTGTCAATAACTTTGGCTACGGTGGAACCAACAGTCATGTCATTGTCGAGAGCATTAAGTCATTGGCATCATCATCGCCTTCCCAGATGAGCAGCGGTACCCACTACGCAGTTGAAAGCAAGACTCAGACAGAGAGCAAGGTGCTCATCTTCTCTGGGCGCGATGAACAATCTTGCCAGCGTATGGTGTCCAAAGCCAAAGAGTACCTGCTGACACGCAAGCTGGAAGACCCTGAGATGAAAGCCGAGAAGATAAATACCATAATGCGAGATTTGACATGGACACTCACACAGCATCGTTCACGCTTCGGGTGGGTGTCAGCACATGCAGTAAAGTACTCGAACGATCTGGACCAAGTCATCGAGAGCCTGGAGGCACCACAGTTCAAGCCAGTCAGGCTCTCAGATATACCAGCCCGGATCGGCATGGTGTTCACAGGCCAAGGAGCACAGTGGCATGCCATGGCCCGCGAGCTCATTGACACGTACCCCGTTTTTCGATCGTCACTGTACGAATCCGAGCGGTATCTGCGCACGGTCGGAGCAGACTGGTCTCTCACTGAAGAGCTGATGAAAGATGCAGCCATGACTCGCGTCAACGATACAGGCCTCAGCATCCCTATTTGTGTTGCGGTGCAAATCGCACTGGTCCGGCTACTTAGGTCATGGGGTATTTTCCCCACGGCCGTGACGAGCCACTCATCTGGAGAGATCGCGGCGGCTTATGCAGTCGGAGCGTTGACTCCGCGCCAGGCTATGGCCGTCGCTTATTACCGTGCAGCTATGGCCGCTGACAAGACTCTTCGAAGTTCCCACGGCGGCCCGAATGGGGGAATGGTTGCTGTGGGAGTTGGCAAGGAGGCTGCTCAGAATTATTTAGACAAGGTCAAGACCGCTGGGAAGGCGGTGGTGGCTTGCATCAATAGCCCCAGTAGTACTACTATTGCTGGAGATGACGCAGCTGTACAAAAAATAGAGGAGCTTGCTACGGCAGACGGAGTCTTCGCTCGTCGCCTCAAGGTCGAGACCGGATATCACTCTCATCACATGCAGCCCATTGCCGAGCCATACCGAAAAGCTCTTCGCTCTGTACTCACTCAAAATGACAATGGCCTCGAGGCTCAACAATGGCTCGACAGCCTGGATGGAGCGGAGGTTCCAGAAGGAGAGCCCTGGGCTGAGCAATATCATGCAGCATTGAAGGATGCTATTCCAGATGCAACCGAGAAAGGGTCTCTAGACAAAACCATCTTCTCCTCTCCCGTTACTGGTGGCCGCGTTACCAGTGTTGAGGTACTGGCTGATCCAGAACACTGGGTACGCAGCCTGTTGCAGCCCGTGCGGTTCGTTGAGGCCTTCACAGATATGGTACTTGGTGGTGGTTCCGACGAGTTAGGCTTCAGCAATGTCGATGTGATCCTTGAGGTCGGGCCACACACAGCGCTCGGTGGTCCCATAAAGGAGATTTTGTCGGACTCCGAGTTTGAGAGCATCAAATTACCTTACATGGGCTGCCTTGTTCGTAAGGAAGATGCTCGCGATTGCATGCTCACAGCAGCTATCAATCTCCTCGGCAAAGGCCAGCAGGCCGACTTGGTCAGAATGAGCTTCCCGTGGGGGCTTAATGGAACCACCAAGCCCAAAGTACTGACCGACCTGCCCTCGTACCCATGGGATCACAAGAAAAGACACTGGAATGAGTCGCGGCGCAGCCAGGCATACCGCCACAGAAGCCAAGAGCCTCATGATCTTCTTGGGGCGTTGGTACCGGGAACCAACCCAGACGCAGCTTCTTGGAGGAACATCATCAAGCTTTCGGAGGCGCCTTGGCTAAGAGATCATGTCGTCCAGGGGAATATTTTGTATCCTGGTGCAGGATTTGTGTGCCTGGCCATTGAAGCAATGAAAATGCACACGGCTTTGACAAGCACTAGCGCTGATACGACGGAATTGTTGGGCTTCAACCTGCGTGACGTCGAGATACACCAGGCCCTTGTGATAGCGGACACGGATGATGGGGTGGAGGTACGGACAGTACTCAGGCCTGTGCCAGAGAAGACGATTGGCGCCCGTGGTTGGAAGCAGTTTGAAATTTGGTCGGTGACCACAGACAGCGAGTGGACAGAGCATGCCAGGGGCCTCATCAAAGTCAAGCTGTCGACGAACACAAAGAAGACTGACAACATCACCGCTCATATGAATGGAATTGAAGCCAG